TCTGTTAGGTCTGATCGAGGAGGCGAGTTCATTTCATCCGAACTCATGAAGTATTGCGAGGATCAAGGGATAAGGAGATTTCTGACAGCATCATACTCACCCCAACAAAACGGAGTTGCCGAGAGGAAGAATCGAACCATTCTTGACATGGTTCGAACAATGTTGAGAAGCAAAAACGTGCCAAAGGAGTTCTGGGCAGAAGCAGTGCAATGTGCCATCTATGTGCAAAATAGATGTCCACATGCTAAGCTAAACGAGAAGACACCGCAAGAAGACTGGAGTGGAAGAAAATCGAGTGTGTCTCACCTTAAAGTGTTTGGTAGCATAGCTTATGGTCATGTTCCAGCTCAACAGAGGACCAAGCTCGAAGATATAAGCAAAAAGTACGTGTTTATTGGGTATGATGAAAAAACCAAGGCGTACAGGTTGTTTAACCCAATAACTAAGAAGGTCATCATGAACCGAGATGTTCAAATTGATGAAGAAAGCGAGTGGAGTTGGAACAACTCGGAAAAGGAGTCCATAGTAAGTAGAAGCTCGGAAGTTGATACACCACATACTGTGAGAGATCACGAGACTTCTGATGAAGAAGATGAACCTCTACAGCCCAGAGCGCGAAGTTTACAAGATATATACAATTCCACTGACGAAGTGCATGTTGTATGTCTCTTGGCAGATTCAGAAGACTTAAGTTTTGAAGAGGTCGTGCAGGAGAAAAGGTGGAAAAATGCAATGGACAAGGAGATCGGGGCAATAGAACGCAACAACACATGGGAGCTGACTGATTTGCCCAAAGGAGCACGGCCTATCGGCATAAAGTGAGTGTACAAGAAGAAGACAAATGTTGAAGGAGAAGTTAAGCGATATAAAGTTTGACTCGTAGTGAAGGGGTACAAGCAGAAGGAAGGAATAGACTATGATGAAGTATTCGCCCCAGTGACGAGAATGGAAACAATTAGGCTGTTGATTTCCTTAGCAGCTCAACACAGATGGACAATCTTGCAGATGGACGTGAAGTCGGCATTTCTGAATGGAATCTTGGAGGAGGAAGTATATGTTGAACAGCCACTCGGATACATGCGAAGAGGAGAAGAGAAGAAAGTGCTGAGATTGAAGAAGACACTTTATGGCTTGAAACAAGCTCCACGAGCATGGAATGAAAGAATTGACACTTACTTCAAAAGGAATGGATATGACTAGTGTCCTTATGAACATGCTTTATACATAAAGAAGAAAGGAGAAGATGTGATGTTTGTTGCCCTATATGTTGATGATCTTATCTTCATGGGGAATAATGTCGAGCTAATTGAAGAGTTTAAAGAAGTGATGAAGAAGGAGTTTGAGATGATTGACTTGGGTCTTATGAAGTATTTTCTTGTCTTAGAAGTTGTTCAGGGAAAGGATGACATCTTTGTGTCGCAGGAAAGGTATGCTGAGGAGGTCTTGAAGAAGTTTAAGATGACAAGCTGCAACCCGGTTTCCAACCCTATGGAACTTGGTACAAAACTTTCTAAGTATGCAGATGGAGACCGAGTTGATGCAAGCAAATACCGAAGTCTAATTGGAAGTCTTAGGTATCTTACAAATACCAGACCAGATTTAATGCTAAGTGTTGGAATAACAAGTCGGTATATGGAGGAGCCAAGGTATACTCATTGGAAGGCACTAAAGAGAATTCTAAGGTATGTGAGAGGAACAGTGTCACTGGGCCTAATGTATACCAAAACGGATGATTATCAACTAGTAGGCTACTCGGATAGTGACTGGTGTGGAGATGTTGATGACCAGAAAAGCACGTCTGGATATGTATTCTTCATGGAAAACACAGCATTCACCTGGCTTTCAAAAAAGCAGCCCATTGTAACGTTGTCAACTTGTGAAGCCGAGTACGTTGCAGCATCCTAGAGTGTCTGTCATGCAGTTTGGCTTAGAAACCTTCTAAGCAAGCTGGAGTTGAAGCAAGAAAAAGGGACTGTGATTCGAGTTGATAACAAGTCGGTCATTGAATTGGCAAAGAACTCGGTCAATCATGAAAGAAGCAAACATATTGATGTTCAGTTTCACTTCATCCGAGAACAAGTGAAAGAAGGAAATGTGGAGTTAGAGCACGTCGGAACCCGAACACAAGCTGCAGATATGTTCACGAAGCCACTGCCAACCACTCTGTTCGAGAACAACAAGAAGATCTTGGAATGAAGAATAAGAAAAGCATTTAAGTTTATGGGGGGATTTTGTTAGGTAAACATTAAATGCATGTAGTTGAGAGGTAGTGATTATAGAGGTAGTAGTTGAGAGGTAGTAGTTGTATTGAATGTATGTAGTTGAGAGATAGTGGTTGTATTGAATGTATGTAGTTGAAAGGTAGTAATTGTAATAAATGCATGTAGTTGAGAGAGCATATCCAAAGACCTATAAATTGACCATGCATTACTCATTGCAAACACATCAAGTGTAATATACAGAGTGTTTTATTTAAATACTTGTTTGTAAACAGAGATAATCATAAATCAATAGTTGGAATCACTAAACTCCTGTCCAATATGGAAGGATGACAGTATTAAACTCCTGTCCAATATGGAAGGATGACAGTGATGATGTGTCCAGTAAATCTAAAATAAATGTAATTTAGCAGTGGCAGCAAAGTGCTACATACAAGTTTTACGAAACATAAAACTCTTTTCAGTTCAATTTTTTAAGCATGAACATAGCTGGTTTTTTAATAATAACTACTAGCTGCTGTAAATTGAACAACAACGTCAACAACCCAGAAATCCTGATCGGGATAAGTTTATTGTTACACTTTAGGGATTCATTTTCTTCTGCAATATGTTTTCCCAAATACTATCACCTCAAAATTGAATTTTACCTATCATTAACAAAAAAAAATTACACCCTTAAATTGATTAAACAGTTCAATTTCGAACTTGTACAAGTACTGTTTTACCAACATCACTAGATTCATGAATAGAGGTGATATGAGCAGAGTTATAATACCCAATATCCTATACTATGCTTATCTAGAGTTCTTCCTAGCTTGCAAACTGAATATTAACTCTTTTCGTATTCTAGAAACTAAGAAACAATTTCTATTTTCTCTGCTGTTTAATACAACAACAACAAAGAATCACTGAATTATCATTATATTTATTGCTTTTTCTACTTCTTCCTAGTACAGGAAACCCCTAGAGTTGCGGGATTTTCCTATAAATTGGGGTCCCTCCTTTCACCATTCCTATTATAACTACTCTTCCTACCAGAAGGCACTTACCTAACCAACAACATTTAGATCCTGCTCCACCTTCATGCTGGATCAAAATGTAAATCTTATGTGTGAAACTCTCTTCTCAAATGTCATGGTAAATTTTTTCATGAACATGTGTTGCTAACAAAAACCAAATTTCGTTATCTCTTGCAAACATAGTGTATTTGATACATAATGAACAAAGTTTTTCTACTCTAGGAAATGACAACAATCTTTTTATAATAAATATAAAAGAATTATTCGAGGATAGCATTCTTGAAATATTGACAAACAGAACAACAAGATATCAAAATAAAATAAGAAAATTTCTGCAGAATCTCAACCATAACATGATATACAGTATCCACATTTGCAGGATATGTATTAGTCTTTTATCTGAGCTTCCTGTACTTCCATATTTGTCCCATGACGTGTTGCACAGATGATCTCAAAAAGACCCTTATAGTTGAAGCAGAATGAGGCCACTAGTAAAAGAATCACATTGATGATATACCACCATAAAATCACATCCACAAGAATCCACGTAAGTGCTTGACATGCAAGTATCCCAGATATGTGGAATATGAAAAGAGTAGTTGGCGATGTCATTTCTGGCATATCTTCTTCGGAGCTCAGGGGGATCGTCAAAGTTTTGTAACTCCCATGTAATTTATGATTTTGGTCCCCAAACATAATGAATATTTAATATATTTACTTGTTTATTTACAATTTTATCCTCTTAGTCTCTCCTCAGTTTTGTAACTCTCATATAATTTATTATTTTGTCCCCCTCAAACTTAATGATCATTTAATATATTTAAGTATATATCTATAATTTTATTCTTTTACCCTTTCATTTTTTTTTATTTATTATTTATTAATAATATATTATTTGCCCCTTCAAGCTCAATGATCAAGATCCGCCACTAATTTTAGCAATGGATGGAAGGGCATGACAATAAGTAGCTGTGAGGAAAAACATTGCGCTTGGACTTGAATGCTTGAAGGGATTGGTATTTTAGCCATCATACTTAATTCCTATTGAAGTTAACTACAAAGCCATTAGTATAGTATAAGCTTTATGTTTCATTTTGTTGATGCAAACAAAGGAAAGAAAGAATAGCAGATATATGCTGGTGGTTGAGACTAATTATTGAAATTAGGAGAATTGATTGAAGATAGAGAGAGAAATGGAAAGAAGGTAGAGCTGCAGAAGAGGGTGCATAAGATACACAGTATTTCACTCTTTTTTAACCCACAATTAACAGTTCATATTCATTGGAAACTGAAGATCAAAATAGAAATTCATTAAATAAGATGTGAGATTGAGTAAAATGTATTTCAACCAATAATATATATATATATATATAGAGAGAGAGAGAGAGAGAGAGATTTTTCATCTATATGCATACTGGACAGTCAATAATTGTATTGTTTTCTTAGGATATTACATGTCAACAAACTAGAAAATAATGATAAAAGAAAGTATAACTAAAGATAGTACTTGCACCTAAAAGTAGAAGTGTTAAAAGACATAACTGGTTCCACTAATAAATTTATGTTTTTTAGTTTTGGCTTTTGGCCAATGAGTCATTTTAATCAGTTTTCAAAGAGTAAAATATAAAAAAAAAATAAAAAATTAGCTTGAGTTCTTCCTAGCTAGACTTATTCCCTTTTCTACTTCTTCCAAATGCTGGAAAATCTCAAGTAATTGCAGGTATATATCCTACCAATTGAGGTTCTCCCCTCACCACCCCCGATGCAGATGGCCTACAATGTTCTTAACTACTCTTACCACAGGGCAGTTACCAAACCAACATTTAGATCCAACTTTACACTATTGCTTAACAATGTTTAGATATCAAACGGATAAAAATGTAAAATTTATGTTTGGAACTCTCAGAAATGTCATATTATATTTTTCATGAATCTGTGATGTTGGTTAACACATGCCCAATTTCTTCATCTCTTATAAACTTGGTATATTTATTGCGTAGTAAACAAAGGCAACAAGGGAATGGATTTTTACTTTAGGCAAGAAAGGAATTTAACTTTGCAGTAAATGTAAAATGAACTAGTCCAGAGTAACATTATTCAAATTTGGACAAACAGATCAAAAAGAAATTTCTGCAGAAAAGTCTTCCTCTTTTGTTTTGGTCGCATGATTCTCAACAGAATCATTGTAGACTCACGGAAAACATCATTATTTTTCATCCTTTCCCCGCTTTGCAACTAATGAAAAAGTGTGGAAGAATGAAAAACAAAAATCGGGGGACCCACTGAAAAATCCAATCCATGGTAAGATTTGGAAAAACAAAATTAGTGGCTTTACCATAAAAGACTAAACTAATAATTTACACTTTTTTTATTTATCTTTTGTGAAAGTAATTAAGAAAACTTTTAACATCATTTCTTGTTTATTCTTTTCTATCAAACCAAACTTTCCATAATACATTTGATCTTCCTGTGCTCCCGAATACGGCATGTGAACATTTCTGGGACGGATGAGGTGAATAACGTGGTGGTAAAAGCTGAATGAGGGTACGAATAAGAGAAGCACGTTGGTGACGTACATGCAAGCTCATCCACCAGATAAGTGGAATATGAAAATGGTAGTTGGCAAGTTCATTCCGCAGTGGATGCAAGGACATGAGTTGTTTGAATGTTGGAAGGGATTAAATCAGGATGGTGTGTATGGTTAAGAATTTCACTATTTGCTCTTAGGTACAAAGTTTGGATCTCATCACCTCAGCCTTATTCGGTTTCGGATTAAATACATGAATTTTACATAGTAGAAAATGATAGATTTAAAATGAAACTAGAAAAAGGGAAATATGTGAATTAAGGAAAATATGATAAGAAATACAGAGAAATCAGAGATGAACGTTAACGTATTAGATGGATCCACTATTATTTCCTCACAACAAATCAGTTGAAATTCATAGATGCAAACACAATAAATCAATGCAAATCTGTACCCTTAAATAATAAATTTGTAAAAACAAATAAAGACTTAGTTAAATTATCGCATTTGAGTTATAAAATTGTAATTATTTTAAAATTTTAGTTTCTTGTTTTTAAAAAATATATTAGTGAATTGAAAAAGAAAGAAAAATATCCAATATTTTGAAAAATTATAAAATTTTATGTAACCTTGTCTTGGGATTTCTTGAAGAATCCATGGATAGATATTTTATAAAGTATAAATATTAAAACAAAATTCATGTAAATAGAAAAATAAGATTAGATATTAAAGAAAATAAAACCCGTAATATAAAAATGCATATTTTTTTCATTTTGATTAATTGTGTTCTTTTCTATATTTTTGAATAGATTAATTGTGTTCTTTTCTATTTTTCTATGTCGAATGTGGTAATTTTATGAAATATAAAATATTAAATTGAAAATAATTTTAAATATTCATAAAAATAGGTTAAAGGATAATAGTTGTATATATTTTTATTTTTCATCTTTATTTATTTTATTAATATTCTCTTGAAATTTTAAATAGACCTAACAATGTCATTTATAAATAGAATTTAAATATTTTATTTATGGAAATAAAAGAACAAATAAAAAATGAAAAAAATTGTGATAAATGGATAAAATATTGTTTAAAGTGTGTATATATATATATATATATATATATATATATATATATATATTAGAAAAAAATAATAAAGAAAACATCATAGGCATTCTCCAAAAGCCACAAAGGTAATGAAAATCTTAAAAGCTTGTCACTAAATATTAAATAAAAAAAATAGTAGAATAATTAATTAACATATAAAGTGTAATATGTTTAAAGTTCATTATAATAATTGATTTTCAAGTTAATTTTGAATTTGATTCATAAGCAATTTAGGAAATTTCGATGAACGGAAATAAATCTCCCAATTGATTTTTTTTTTTTTAAATGTCGTATATATTATAACAATGGTTCAACTTCAATTTCTATATATAATAGATAGGATTAAAATACTCGTTCAATATTCAAACTACTCTTCCCTCGTATTTTGCCAACAAATACGAACATCAATAACATTAGATCGACATGTCTTTTACACATCAAAGTGAATCCTTTTCACTTTATTGTTGATAACATACATTTGATTAGATTATATATTAAAAGAAAATACATTGAAATTTTCAAATGCTATTTAAAATTTTATAATGAATAAATAAATAAAATGTGACTGATATATAAATAAATAAATAAATAAACCAGATGGTAAACAGTTTGACTTATTATTATGTCATTTTATTATTACTCTTCAAAAACTTAACATTTATATCTCAACAACCTAAAAAAAACCCTACTATGATAAATTAGGTCCCACAGACTTTATATATATGACAGAAATAAACTATTTTAATATTGTTTTGTTGTCACAAAAAGTGGTCCTATAGTCATGTAAGTTTTGAGGATTCTTTGTCAACATTTTTTAAAACTCAAGAATGGCTCCACAAAGCTCTATAAGGATTCTTAACCAAAAGCCATTTAGGGTTTGTGCATTACTATCTTCTCCTTCAAAAACTAGATCCACTTATGTTTTGTTTGTTTTGACTTATTTATTGTTGTAGAAGATTTATTGGTTTACATGCAAATTTGAATGAATTTGGGGAAATGAAGAGGAGAGTCCCACATCTCGTAAATTCACTCTAAAAAAAAAGATTGAATAATAAATATCTGAATTTTTTTATTATTTTTTTATTCCATTGCACAAATATAATTTAGTTGTTACATTAAAAATATCATTATTCAATTATATTGTATAATAAATTCACTCAAATCTCTTTAAATCTACTATTTTTTTTTCTTTGATCCAATCAACCATTCATTCAAATTCATTCCCTCAAATTAAATCTCCTTCCCAATCCAAACACAACACAAGTTTAATATAACTTTAAAAATATCTCCATTGGATATCCTAGTCATCGATGTCATAACACAAATTTATGACTTTAATTTTATTTGATTTTAATGTATCTGAGGTTATCACCAAACCCAAACTTGTTATGAGATAATTAGGGTTTTCAAATCAATCTAAATTCTAATTTGACTTATCATACCACGTATGGTTTCCATGCATAAGTAAACGTCGGAGTCATGACTACGTTTTTTCCTATTCAATAAAATATAAGTTTCTTAAATAAGTAACATTGTGACTCGTCTTAATTTTAAAAAATTAAAAAAAAATCACTCATAATAAAAGTATTATAAAATTCACAAAATAAAAATAAGAAATATTACTGTCTATTCATAAATCGGCAAATAAAACAACCATTGTCTATTGAGATAATCGAAGTGCATACAAATTGTAACCAATGACAGTTCACGACCCTCCTACACTTCCAAAGTGCTAAACAAACGTTTCTCAAATAAAACAATATTACATGTACAACAAATAATTATTTGTAGGAAAAATATTTTACATTATTTTAAAATAATAAAGAATAAGTGATAGAAAAAAAATTTAAGTATAAAACTTAAATAGAAATCATGTTTTCATGCTGTTGTTCTTTAGTTAGAATTGAGTTTTATCTCAACAATTTATTGTAACTTTTAATATAAATCTTTATTATATAAACTCTATGCTTCAGAAATTTTAGCTGCTTCCACTGTAATCGTTGTTCCTTTTCTCCTCTCAATGACGTTCTACTATTAATTATGTCCCAATCACGCTTCAAGTTTCTATATATATTATAAACACCTTTTTTTCTTCATCACTGTCTTCCTCTACCGTCTAATAAACCAAATGTTTTCTGGGGTGTCATTATTGAGTATCTGCGTGACTCTTGAGTTTTACAAAGCTGAAACTGATTCTCGTTGCATGAGTTGAGAAGGTGTAGTAATTACTGTACTCAACTTTGACTTACAAACTAAACATTAGAGTAAACTATTAATATTTTGAGATATATCATAGCCTTCACATTTTTATTTTATTTTTTGGGTTTATTTTTGTGTTTGAGATCTTCCCACTAAAATTAGTTTCATGATGTTTGCTATTATTAGACATACAGTCATTCGTTAACTCATTTACCTTGATGATAAATTTTCCTTTCAAAGAATTAGTTAGTTTGTAGCATGTAATCAAAACGTCCAAGAGTTGAATTTGAGCATATGATAGAACTGGTCATTTATCACATGTTAAGCACAAAGGGTTCTTGCCATGAGAGTTGCATCAACCAGCTGGGTTGGTTACTCTTGTCTTCTTACTCATGTCCCATTTTATGATTCAATATTTTTCCGTGTTTTTGGATAAAGTCTTACTCGGTATTAACATGCATGAATTTGTTGTCCTGTATTGTATGTTGCAGAGTTTAAGGGCAAACTACAAAGAAGATGGAAGACTTTTGGAGCATGGTTTGTGGGGATTCTGTTGGTGCAAAGACTGTGGGAAAGCTTTCGTGTTACGATTTCAAGCTTTTGAAAGATCCTTCCGTATGCATCAACCAATTATTCATAATTTCCTTTGATGCATTACTCTTGATCATGTTGTCTTTCGCTATGATCCACAAGTCTTTCTCGAGACCATGTCAGGGTCTAATCCAAGTGGAAAGATATTCAAAATTGCAACTATGTTCTGCCATAACCAGTGGTTCTCTTGGGTTGATGCAGTTGTGTTTAGGCATTTGGGTTTTGGAGGAGAAGTTAAGGAAAAACCATACTACTTTTCCCCTTAACTGGTGGTTGCTAGATTTCATCCATGGATTCACATGGTTGTTTGTAGGTTTAACTGTAAGTCTTAAGCTGAAACAACTTTCAAGAGTATGGTTATGGTTGTTCTCTATATTGACATTCTTTGTTTATGGTGTTTGCTGTCTTCTATCCATATCTTACTCAATTAGAAGAAGAGAACTATCCTTCCAGGTCGCTTTACATATTCTATCTTTTCCTGGAGCTTTTTTACTACTTTTATGCACATATAGAGTATGTAAACATGAAGACACTAACAGAGAAGCTAGAGAAGGCCTTTATGCCCCTTTAAGAGACCAGTTCAATGGAGTTGATCCTAATAGATATGTAACCCCATTTGCAAATGCTGGATTCATTAGCAGGATATTGTTTTGGTGGTTGAATCCACTTATGAAAAAGGGTGAAGAGAAAACACTCGAGGATGAGGATATCCCAAAGTTGGCAGAGTTGGATGGAGCAGAAAGTTGTTATACATTGTTTGAAGAACATTTGAACAAACAGATAGAAAAAGATCCATCGTCACCTGTGTCAATTTTGTGGATAATAATTTTTTGCCATCAAAAAGAGATTTGGATATCAGGATTCTTTGCATTGCTGAAGGTACTGACTGTGTCTTCTGGTCCTGTACTTCTAAATGCCTTTCTTCTGGTTGCTGAGGGTAATGAAAGTTTTAAGTATGAGGGTTATGTATTGGTCATATCACTTTTCATTATAAAGATCGTAGAGTCCCTATCACAAAGGCAGTGGTACTTCCGCAGTAGACTTGTTGGGATGAAAGTTAGGTCACTGCTTACTGCAGCCATTTATAAAAAATTGTTGAGGTTGTCCAATGTTGGAAGATTGGCACACTCTGGTGGTGAGATAATGAATTATGTGACTGTGGATGCCTATAGAATTGGAGAATTTCCATTCTGGTTTCACCAAACATGGACTACAAGTGTCCAACTATGTATTGCATTAGTAATACTTTTTCGTGCCATTGGGATGGCAACAATCGCTTCATTGGTGGTGATAGTTCTCACTGTGTTGTGCAATACTCCAATATCTAAATTACAACACAAGTTTCATGGTGAACTTATGGTGGCACAAGATGAGAGATTGAAGGCTACTTCTGAAGCTCTTGTGAATATGAAAGTTTTAAAGCTATATGCATGGGAAAATCACTTTAAAAATGCTATAGAAAAGTTAAGAAACATGGAACTCAAGTTGTTAGCTGCAGTGCAACTAAGAAAGGCATACAACGTATTTATTTTTTGGTCTTCGCCTGTTTTGGTCTCTGCTGCTTCCTTTGGGGTATGTTACTTCCTTAAAGTTCCTTTGCATGCAAATAATGTTTTCACATTTGTGGCAGCTTTACGGATTGTGCAAGAGCCAATTACAACTATTCCCGATGTAATCGGGGTGGTCATTCAAGCAAAGGTTGCATTCACTCGAATTATTAAGTTCCTTGAGGCACAAGAATTACAAACTAAAAGTTTTAGGAAAGAGAGCTTTGTTAACAATCTGAATGATTCAATTTTGGTCAAACATGCCGATATTTCATGGGAAGATAATGTATCAAAGCCAACATTGAGGAACATAAATTTGGAGATTAAACATGGACAAAAGGTGGCTATTTGTGGAGAAGTTGGCTCAGGCAAATCAACCCTCTTATCATCGATTCTTGGAGAAGTTTCTATTACAAAAGGAACAGTAAGCTTTTTCTCCTTTTATGCTATAGAATAAACTACTAAATCTGGTGAAATTCAACAATCCGTTATAACTTGATGACATTCATACCATTGTAGTAAGCAGTTATTTATATTTTGCACTTAAATTGAAATTATTGCAGGGTGGGATTTATTTCCTTTCATTGTAGCCAAAACATTAGTAGGTGTCTGATTCACTTTTCTGAATTACAGATATACGTTTATGGGAAGTTCGCTTATGTTTCTCAAACGGCATGGATACAAACAGATACTGTACGGGAAAATATTTTGTTTGGATCTGATATGGATGATGAAAGATATCAAGAAACACTTCAAAGATCTTCCCTAGTGAAGGACCTGGAGTTGTTTCCCAACGGTGACCTAACAGAAATAGGTGAGAGAGGAGTTAACCTAAGTGGAGGTCAGAAGCAGCGAATTCAACTTGCACGTGCTCTCTATCAGAATGCTGATATATATCTTCTGGATGATCCATTTAGTGCTGTTGATGCACATACTGCCACAAATTTGTTTAATGTAAATCTTCTTTTCTTCTCCTCATGCTGCATTTATGTTTTTAAGTGTCATTCCTTACTTAAATATGGCTATGAAACATGGCAGGACTACATCATGGAAGGACTTAAAGAGAAAACTGTCTTACTAGTAACTCATCAAGTTGACTTCCACCCAGCATTTGATTCTGTTTTGGTAATTTCAATCATCTTAGGGAAATGTTATTTCATTTTTCATCTTTGTTGCATGTGTATAACTATTAATTATAAATTGTAATGCATGTAAAGTCCCTCATTTCATTTTTGTAATAATTTGTCTCCATATCCCTTCTATTTATCTATTGTCTACCTATTTGAAGTAGCTTGATAGGCTATAGAATGAATTTTGTTTAGTGAGACTGCATTTTTTACTTTGTATCACAACTACCAATTTTAATGTTTACTAGGGAAAATATCCATTCATTTACTTATAAAATTTTCTGCAAAAAAGTCTTGAATAAGTACAGGAGGAATCTACTAGAAGGATTCATTAATTTTCCCACCTTGTTATCTGACATCTGTTTCTAGTTTATTAGTTTGGTGCTACACTCATGTTAATGTGGCTAAGCGATTGTTCAAATACTTTCGATGAAGCTACTGCATCTTCGACTTGCTAATTCAATTGTTATTTATGTATAGTTAATGTCAAATGGGGAAATCCTTGAAGCTGCTCCTTATCATCATCTATTGAGCTCAAGCAAAGAATTCCAGAACCTCGTCAATGCTCACAAGGAGACGGCTGGTTCTAACAAGCTTGTGAATGTTACTTTTGTCAAGAGACATCCAACTTCTGATGGAGAGACTACACAAGCTTGCATGAAGAAGCAATTCAACGTAGCAGAAACAAATAAATTAATAAAGCAAGAAGAAAGAGAGATAGGAGACACTGGATTGAAGCCTTACATGCAATATCTGAATCAAAAGAAATGCTATATATTCTTCTCTGTGGCTGCTCTTTGTCACCTTACATTTGCAATTTTGCAAGTATCGCAAAACTCATGGATGGCTACGAATGTTGATAATCCTCGTGTCAGCACGTTGCGGTTAATTGTAGTTTACTTCTTGATTGGAGTTATTTCAATACTTTTCCTGTTGAACAGAAATATACTTTTTGTTTCTTTGGGGTTTCTATCATCAAAGCATACTTGTTTACAGTTAATGAACACACTTTTTCGTGCACCAATGTCATTTTATGACTCTACACCAGTAGGAAGGATACTTAGCAGGGTAAGTATATTCAACAAATTCTTTCCTTGTTGTTGTGAGATGTGATGGAAGTAATACAGTATTTTGACTGTCATTTTCTTTGTTAGGTCTCATCAGATCTTAGCATTCTGGATCTTGACATTCCATTTAGCCTCACTTTTGCTATGGCAGTAACCATAAATACTTATATAACGCTTACAGTTTTAGCAGTTGTCACTTGGCCAGTCTTGGTTATCTCAATACCACTAGTTTATATAGCAATTCGCTTGCAGGTAACACAATTTATTCATTGTATTACATTACAACAGTGAACCGCTGTTGATTTTTAGTTATCAACTGTGAAATACTACAAATTTCAATTTCATAACGTTTCGACCTTCTACCTTTTATCCTTGTGGTAACTTATTAATTTTGCTATATAGTATTTAAAACATTCTTAGTTGTAAAGTAAACATAGTAAGTTTTGTTTCTTTTGTTCATAGAGATACTACTTTGCCTCTGCTAAAGAAGTAATGCGGATGAATGGCACAACAAAATCCTTTATAGCTAATCATATTGCTGAAACTGTTGCTGGAGTTGTGACCATAAGGGCTTTTGAGGAGGAATATCGTTATTTTGCAAAGAATCTTGATTTAATTGACATCAATGCTACTCCTTTCTTCCATAGTTTTGCTTCAAATGAGTGGTTGATCCTACGTTTAGAAATTGTAGCTGCAGTTGTTCTTACCTTCGCAGCACTTTGCATGGTCTTGTTTCCACCTGGGACTTTTACATCTGGTGAGATTCGGTCATTCTAATCTCTAAAATGTAATTGTTTAAGCATTTTATTTATCTTCAAATTATTTTCTTTTATCCCCGCAAAAGCGTTATCACTTTTAGAACAAGCTTCTTATTTACACTAAACTTTCTCCCAGGATTTATTGGCATGGCTCTCGCTTATGGACTTAGCCTAAACTTTCAGTTAGTATTTTCAATTCAAAGTCAATGCACTCTTGCCAATTACATAATATCTGTAGAGAGGTTAAATCAATATATGCATATACAAAGTGAGGCTGAAGAAGTAATAGAAACAAAACGCCCTCCATGTAATTGGCCAGATGAAGGTGAAGTAGAAATAAGTGACTTGCAGGTAATCTGTACATACAAACTTTAGAATATGGAGTATAATGCTTAGAAAAAGTAGTGTTGCAGTGAATTTCATGGTTTACCTGTTTATACTAAGACAGGTACGATACAGGCCTGATGGACCACTTATACTCCATGGAATTACATGCACATTCAAAGCAGGGCACAAGATTGGAATTGTTGGAAGGACAGGCGGTGGCAAGTCCACTCTTATTGGTGCTTTATTTCGTCTTGTGGAGCCAGCAGGTGGAAGAATTATTGTTGATGGCATAGACATATCTTCTATTGGCCTTCATGATTTGAGATCACGTTTTGGTGTTATACCTCAGGATCCTACCCTTTTTAATGGGACTGTTAGATACAATTTGGACCCTCTATCTCAACACTCTGATCAAGAGATATGGGAGGTAAAACTTTGTTGCATTCTGTTTATCTTTGCTTCACATAGTAAAAGTGGACTAACTTGGTTGCTTAACATGAAGGTTCTTGGGAAGTGTCAGTTGCGAGAAGTTGTCCAAGAGAAAGAAGAGAGCTTGGACTCCTCTGGTAGACTTCAAAGTTTCTTTATCATAACTATGTAGCAAGCATTTCTAGTACTTTCCAAGTTAGTAATTAGTAATGACCAATGCTAAATTGTTCCACAGTTGTTGAAGATGGATCAAACTGGAGCATGGGACAAAGGCAGCTATTTTGTTTGGGGCGTGCTATTTTGAGAAGTAGTAAGATATTGGTGCTGGATGAAGCTACAGCTTCAATTGATAATGCAACTGATTTGATTCTGCAGAAAACCATTAGGACTGAATTTTCTAATTGTACAGTGATAACAGTAGCACACAGAATACCAACAGTGATGGATTGCACTATGGTTCTTTCAATCAGTGATGGTAAGTTTCATATCTGTCATTTGACACTTTTTCATACTAGTCCATAACTCCTCTTTCATTTTATATGAGTTCATTTGACACACCAAATATATGTTTGTTTTAAGCAGAAAGGTTGGTTTTACATATTTAGAGGGTATAGTTAATAATTCAATTTCTATGGCACATACTGATAACATGTAAAATATATGGAGTGCTTGATTTTCACACTCCAACTTTTATCAGGGAGAAAAGGTTAATAATATGCTTGATCATTTGTTTATTTCCTTCAAAGAAAACCTTATGATTGCATTTACAGGAAAATTGGTAGAGTATGATGAACCAAATACCTTGATGAAGAGAGAAGGGTCGTTGTTCAGACAACTAGTCCAAGAATATTGGTCTCATTTTCAGTCTTCAGAATCCCATTGATGCTATTGTTGCTTTGAAAAAGTGAATGAAGTGTGCTTTGAATATGTAAGGTTTAATTAAACTCACAACTGTATTTAGTTCCAAGTGTTGATTGAGTAAGTTAGGTTTTCTCATGTACTATAAATATGTAATTTTAGTCTCTTTAGTTCCAATTATGTCAATTTGGTCTCTTGGGAATTATAATTGTGTTTTAGTCTCCTAAATAAGTCATAAATGAATCACACATCAGCAAATTTGAATTTTATGGTAGTGATGGCTAAACATTTTCTATTTATTTTAACTATTATACCATTTATAATATTTATTTTATTAATTCAATAATTTGATGATGATAGATTTATTTTGTTCTGTTTTACTTTATTATAATATATATATATATATATATATATATATATATTATTTTTACTTAATATAAACTTCATTCAAAATGCTTTAAGATACATATAAAATTAAATAGTAAAATATATAATATGAGAAAAATATATTGAAACTGAACAAAATGCAATTAAAATGATTCATCTACAACTAAAATAATTCAAGAGTTAAAAATTAGTTTTGAAACAAAAAATTGTAATATCTCAAAGTGTATTTTTAATCATAAATATATATATATATATATATATATATATATATATATATATATATATACACGTATTTATCATTTTACTTTTTCACTTCAACGTATAACTTTATCAAATATTAATGATTTAATAGTTTTCAACTTCCTATTATCAACTTTCAGTTTTTGTTAACTTTTTGAGTTAGTTTTACCAGACATACAACATGTATGATTTTGAGATTATTAATTATAACTCAAGTTTGAAAGTGTGGTTGTTAATAAGAAAAAAATTATCATCAATCACAGTATTATTTGTTATAAATATGATTATTTAAAAAATTAAGCTCCTATTTGTTTTACAGTTTGCATTATTTTTTATGGAGAAAAAAAAATAGTTCTTATATAACAGGGTACTATAATGTCAATTGATTTCGCCAATAATGTCACTCTAACACTAACTTTATTACAGGGTACTATAATTTTATTTTTATTCTGCTATTTATTTCCGGAAATCAAAATCTTGAACGAATTGTTTAATAAAAATTATATAAAAATATATAATAATTTACCACTTATATCACATTCCCCGCACGTGCAGCCTGAAACACTCTAATCTTTGTGCAGGATAACACGCTCCTGCTTCACCAGTGTCTTGTCTCTCTCTCCCTCACCAAACCTCTTTCTCTTGTTCTTCTTCATTTCTCTTCCAATTCCATTCAACGCAATTTTCATCCATGTCCATGTCCATGTCCACACTTTCTTCTTCAACCTTCCCAAACACTAATCCCTCCCTCTCCTTATCCTCCCAAAAACTCCCTCTCTTCCCCAAACCCCTTCCTCTTCGCTTAACCCACCCGCCTTCGTTCTCCCTCCGAACTCCACCGTTCCTCGCGCCGCTACTCTGCAAGTCTCCTGAGGTGGAAGCGGAGGCTCCGCCGCCGGAGGACGAGTGGCTGCAGAAGCTGCCGGAGAAGTCGAGGCCGCTCTACTCCCACAGCCTCCCTTGCATTGAGGCCTGGCTCCGGAGCCTGGGCTTCTGCCAGAGCAAGGAGGACCGCGCCCTCTGGATGGTTCACAAGCCCGATTGGCACGCCCACCTCTCCCTCGATGTCACCGATCTCTACATAAGGTGAGCTCAAATTTCAAAGTAGTTTGTTTTGTTAGTTTCTTTGTCTAAATGTTTTCTACCTAAACGATACGGGAATAAATATTTTGAAAGAAAAAAAAATATGGTTGGATTAGGCAAAATCAAAATAAACTATCTTGTAAACGATATGTACATATAAAATGGCTTGCAATTTGTTAATTATGCAAGTGAAATCTAGAATGGTACTGGATACAGGGACTGAAACTTTTTTCTTTTTTCCAATTTATAGAGATCAAAACCCAATTTATAGGGACTAAATCAATTTTAAGTTTAGATATTAAAACAAATCTATCTAAATTTGATTCACTAAAAACATGATTGAACTTTGATCCAGGGTTTGTTTGTACTTGTTTCTCTTCAAGGGCATAAGAAGAAAAAATTAAATGGATTTCATCCTAAACTAAGATTAACTTATACATAAAAACTTATAAGGGTGAAAAAAGAATTTATTTCTTTATAAGTTAGCTTATCTATAAATTAATTTATGAAAGTTACCTTATATACTTTCTCTAAATTTTTATTTTTATTTATAGGTTAATTTTAAATATAGAAAAGTACAATTCATTTTTTTTGCCATATTTTTCTCTCTAAGGATTTCTTTTGGAGAATTTCATCTGAAAACATTCATAAGCTAATTTGTAGAAACTTTCTTATGTTTAAATCTTTTATTTTTAACTTATGCATAAACTAATTTTAGAAATAAATAGTATTATATTAAAAGTTGGTAAAAAAACACACCCTAATGATGTTAACTCTTCCATAAATTGTAGGTTATCCAAAAAAAAACTAATGGAATTCAAGCATAAATGATTTAATGAAAGAAAGGGAGAAACAAGTGAGTGAGGAGATTTGCACTGATTGTGTGTATTGAATATGTATCCTCATTGTTATATGATAACTGTGTTACATAATCATTTTACAATTTGACACTGTTGGTCTTCCCTTGCACAGACATCTCCTAGATTAATTTTAGGAAATTGTTAAATGTTCACTCAAATTTCGATTTGGGGTGGATAGCCGTAGCAGAGAGAGATAAAAAAAATTGAAAATAGAAATAAGGAAGGGAAAATGAAAGATGTGATAAGCCGTGAGATAACAAAGGCGAAAGATCGATTCAGGAAAATAATTAAAAGTAAAAATAGAATTTTTATTTTATTTAGTAGTAACGATGGTGAGCAAAAGTAAACTGTGACAACCCTTTCTTTCTTCATGTTCTCAATAAAAAAAATATATAGCTTGAGTAGTTGCCCATTATATAATCTGCCAAAAGTACTGAAAACAGTTGGCAAGCTAAATTATGTTTAACAGTAAAAAGTATTAATGTTAAAATTCCAAATGCTCTTCTCAATGCATGTAAAAGAAATCCTACTCCACTGTTTAAAGAAGAATGATGATATTACTTCTATTGAATTTATGAGAAAATTTTGGTTGAATTTTTCTGATTTTAGTGAAAACATTGAAGATAAATGTGTAGAGAAAATATAAAAGCATTCTTTTTGTCTGCATATTTTCTTTACTGGCTTATTGTCGATATCTGATTTGTCTGTTGGGGACAAAGAGGGGGAGGAGCAGGGCTGAACTTCCTCTCATTGCAGCCTTATCCTTTCTTTACATCCTCCAATTAGTCATATTCATGGTTGATATACTAAATGTATTGTAGATGAAGAAGTTTGATTACCAAGTAAATTGCTGGTCTTCTAACAAGTTGGGTGTAAAATATTTGGTAAATATGGATTGAGTAGTCCCATTGTAATGGTGCATACTGGAGTGGAACTAGAAAGTTAATGTGAATGATTAATATAAAAGTTGCATTTTAATTTGTGTAGGTATTTGAAGAGTGGACCAGGGAATCTTGAAAAAGATGTGGAGAGGAGGTTTAGTTATGCTTTAAGCCGAGAAGACATTGAGAATGCTGTACTTGGAGGACCATAGTCACATTTCTTTCTATCTGTCAAATAGATAAAAATGGCTTCATTCCTTGTTGAAAATAGTAGTCAATTTATACGTTGAATCATTAATTTCATATGTTGATCCTTTCATAGCTATTCTAGAAGGTCCATATTAGGTTCCATATGCACGTTACGGGAATTGCACCTTAATGATTATTGCTCCAAACTGAACGAATTACTGAAGAACCAATGATTTTTTTTTATTTTCTATTTTTTTTTAAGAGAATCTTTGCAGATTTGCAGACACACGTTGCGATAACTCAAACCCAATATTAATTTCTGGTTTGAATTAGAAGATAAATTTGAGATTGTGAAAAATGATAGAATTGAGTGGAAAGATACAGGAGAGAAAAGTTTGTGAAGATTTGTAAATAATTTATTTGATATAAATAATAAAAAATATTTTAATAAAACTTTAAAAATCATCAAATTATTTTTAAATAAAAAATATTATTATTAATATAATTTAAGATATTATTATTATGTATTTTAATATTTTTTATTATAATTATAAAAAATAAAATAAAAAACACACATAATTCATGATAAATATATATATATATATATATATATATATATATATATAATATGATCCTTAGTGCATGTATTTAAAATAAAATAAAAAATTATTAAACACTTTTACCCTCCATTTTTTATACATCTATTTATACTATTAATTAAAAACAAAAAAAATTTACAAATTGCTTTAACTTTATAAAAAATAATTTATATATCTTATCAATTCAAATTATTTTCACGTCAATATTTAATAAGATTTTTCTTGCACCTATACCCTCCATTTTTTTCTCTATTAATTTATTTTCTTTTTATTTTATTTTTTTCCTTAGAATTCTTAATAACTTTTCAACTTATTAATAATCAATCACGGTAGTTTTATTATTAAAGAAAAATGTTTAAAAATTCATAAAGTCATGTAACAATATAAATATTTACAACAACAACATCAATAATAATAATAATAATCCAAAAACTTATTGTAGAAAACAATAACCCAAGTAGTAGAAAATAATTACTAAGATTGAGAAAACTTATTGTAAAAAAAACATTTAAAATTGGAAGAAAAAAATTTATCATTGTCACTTGAGATTGAGAAAATTTTGAATAAGGGTAGAAAAGTAAGAAAAAGAGTATAAAAGTCTCACGTATTTATGAGATTGTTTCAAGGAATGATATTTATGTCAAACAAAATTTATAAAAAAAATATTCAATTTTGTATGATTTTGAATACCAAATATTTTTTTTAGTCTTTTAAAACTTAATTACTAGATTTTATTACCCTTTGAAATAAAGATTAAATAACTTTTTTTCACTGATTTGTATTTTAACACTTTTCTTCTTATTAGTTTGAATGTCAATTTTTAATCTATTTTTATAAAAATAAAAATCATATCTATCATATTAAGTTGTTTAAAAGAAATATAATATAAAATGAGGTGATAAAGAAATAGATTTGAATAGTTCAGATACTTCGTCAATAATATAACACTTCTTCAGTATTATGTCAATATTTCGTTGTTCACTTAAAAAAAATAATCAAAATAATTTAAAAAATAACAGTGGGACAAAAATTAAAAAAATATATATTTAACCTAAAAATAATAATCTTGATTGGATAGTGTAATTTTTGTTCTTAAACATTTTAAATTCTTAAATAAAGTCCTAAAAGAGATTTTCTAATAATTGATGTAAAATAGTAACATTCTACTTGTTAAAAAAAAAAAGAGTAATGATTTCAAATCACAATTGTAATTTTTAAGATAATTAGTATAAACGATAATTTTAGTCTTTCTTTAGTTTATGATATACAACGATTTTGGTCTTCTATTTATTTTTTGTTTTAATTCTTGTATTTTGGAAATATGATATAATTTTCCTTTGCTTTTAAACTTTATATATGTTTTGCACGAACTAAAATTGTAAAAATAAAAAATAAAAAATACAAATCAACATCAAGGAAATTTAAATTTAGTAATAATTATGATAATGGATAGTTGTTGATAATGGTATGTGTGGCTCAGTGAGAATATCGTTGTATTCATTTATATTATTAAAAATTTCAATTGAATTCTTCAATTTTTAAATTAACATTAATTTAATCCTTTTCAGGATGGTTATGCTGTTTATATCAATGGATGAAAATGAAAAATTAATACTAATTTTAAAAGTTAAGAAACTTAATTTAGTCATTTAATAGTAAAGATACCAAATTGATAAATTATATAAATATATATTAAAAAACAAAACTAATTTAGCCAATATTTTATTAGATCATGATAAAGATATTGTAAACTCTTTAAAAAAAATGGTCTAATTTTAGTTGCACTTTGAAGCCTCATTCTTAGTCTTTCTGCAACAACAGCTGGGAAAGCGGGGTAAAATATCAGTTGTTACTTAACAATGCGATTTCATCAAACATAACAAAGTAACAGTTTCAAATTCATGAAACCTTTTCCTCCATTGACTCACCCATTGCTCAACTTACAAGCCTTGGTCTGTTCAATTCGAAAATCGTTGGTATCCCCACAAAACCCTGTTTTTGTTTTGGAACTTCTGGACAAAGCGTTAGACCAATACCCAGACATCAAGACCTTGAAAAATGTGCATTCCAAGGTTTTTAATTTTAGTTTTCACGAAAACCTATTTCTGGGAATCAAACTCATGCGGGCATATGCAGCGTGTGGAGAACCTGGGATGGCACGCAGGGTGTTTGATGAAATTCCTGAGAGGAATGTTATTTCTTATAATGTCATGATCAGAAGCTATGTGAATAACCATTGGTACAATGATGCATTGCTTGTTTACAGAGACATGGTTGGTGGTGGATTTAGTCCTGATAACTATACCTACCCTTGTGTTTTGAAGGCTTGCTCTTGCTCTTGCTCTGACAATGCAAGGATTGGGTTGCAGCTTCATGGAACTGTGTTTAAGCTTGGGTTTGACTTGAATTTATTTGTTGGGAATGGTCTTATTGCGTTGTATGGGAAGTGTGGTTGCTTACTGGAAGCACGGCGTGTTCTTGATGAAATGCCAAGTAGGGATGTTGTTTCATGGAACTCAATGGTTGCTGGGTATGCGCAAAATATGCGGTTTGATGATGCATTGGAGATCTGCCGAGAAATGGAAGGTCTGAGGCAGAAACCGGACTCAGGTACAATGGCTAGTCTCCTACCAGCAGTAACTGACACTTCATCAGAAAATGTTTCATATGTTAAGAAGATGTTTGTGAATTTGGAGAAGAAAAGTTTGGTCTCATGGAATGTGATGATAACTGTGTATACAAAAAACTCAATGCCTGAAAAAGCTGTTGATCTATATTTAGAAATGGAGAAATCTGAAGTGGAACCAGATGCAATCACTTGTGCTAGTGTTCTTCCAGCATGTGGGGATCTTTCAGCTTTGTTGTTAGGAAGGAGGATTCATGAACTTGTTGAGAGGAAGAAGCTATGTCCAAATTTGCTTCTGGAGAATTCACTGATAGACATGTATGCTAGGTCTGGATGTCTAGAAGATGCGAAAAGAGTGTTTGACAGAATGAAATTTCGTGACGTTGCCTCATGGACTTCATTGATATCTGCCTACGGTATGACTGGACAAGGCCATAATGCTGTGGCACTCTTCACTGAAATGCTAAATTCGGGTCAAAGTCCAGATTCCATTGCCTTTGTCGCAATTCTGTCAGCTTGTAGCCATTCAGGATTATACAACGAAGGGAAGTTTTACTTTAAGCAGATGACAGACCATTACAGAATAACACCAAGAATTGAACACTTTGCTTGTTTGGTGGACATTTTAGGACGATCTGGACGAGTAGATGAGGCCTATAATTTCGTTAAACAGATGCCAATGGAGCCTAATGAAAGAGTTTGGGGAGCACTGCTTAGTTCGTGTCGGGTGTACTCCAACATAGATATTGGCCTTTTAGCAGCTGACAAACTACTTCAGTTGGCTCCTGAGCAATCAGGCTACTATGTGTTGTTATCCAATATTTATGCTAAGGCTGGTAGATGGACAGAGGTAACAGCTATTCGATCACTAATGAAGAGAAGAAGAATTCGGAAAATGCCTGGGATCAGTAATGTTGAGCTGAATAATCAGGTACACACCTTTCTAGCGGGTGACACATCACACCCACAGTCAAAGGAGATATATGAAGAGCTAAGTGTGCTGGTGGGGAAGATGAAAGAGTTAGGATATGTCCCTGAGACTGATTCTGCTCTTCATGATGTGGAGGAGGAGGATAAAGAATGCCATCTAGCTGTTCACAGTGAGAAATTAGCTATTGTGTTTGCTATTTTGAATACTCGAGAATCTCCAATCAGAATTACCAAAAACCTCCGTGTCTGTGGAGATTGTCATATTGCTGCCAAGCTTATCTCCAAGATAGTTCAACGTGAAATTGTCGTCAGGGACACCAATCGATTTCACCATTTTAAGGATGGTTTATGTTCTTGTGGTGATTATTGGTGAAGCTACTTCATGCTGAAGAAAACTGCAATTTTGACAACTTCAAAGGTTGTATATATGATGGTGGACAATTCTTTTATTTCTTAATTTTTGGTGCATTAGAGGAACAAGAACTTGAGTAGAAGTAGGGAATAAATGTTCTAGAGGAAGATGGATTCTCCAACATCATAACACTCCAATGTTATAGATTTGGAAATGGTGTTAGTTGAGCTTATCCTATGATGACTAAAAGATCATTTTTTATGCAGGACAATGTATTTTAGTTATGATTGATTCGTCTTGCAGGATAAGGCAGAACCATTGTTGTTGTTATACAGTATACTGTCACCACCAGTTTATTTGAAGGTTGCAAGATTTGTTTGGTTATGGTTTTAGGGGCAATGCTGTTCTAAAATTATGTGACAAAGGTATATATTCCTTAATTCAATTGACTTTCACTTTCTTAAAGCCTTTACTTGCGTTCAAAATAGTGACCACTTTGGATAATCTTCTCCCTAAGTATTTATAGAAGAAGAAGAAGAAGAAGAAGAAAATATGGAGTTAAAATGAATCAAACTTCTGTGTTAAAATATAATTTTGTAGCATAATTTTATTTTAAATAGTGAAATATGTCCAAAATGAGTCAAATTCATTTTGTTGGAACCTTTTCCTATTGCCACCAGTAACTTCAGTTTTAGTTAGGGAAACTCAAGGTTTTGGATCTTGGACAAGCATGAGCAAAATTAAGAAGTATAGGGAGAGACTGTGGTCTTGGGCATGTTACTGATCAGTTTTTATAAGGCTCTGGATCCACTCAGGTGCAAATACTACATCAATACTGCAAACCTTTGAAAAGGATTAATAGGAAAGGTAAAGTTCTTTTGTCATGTATGAAGATGTAGATGAAGAGAAGATGAGAAGATTCCATCCCATAACTGTAACTAAGTTGTATTTTGCACATTTATTTCACCTTGAAAATTACAGTTGTATATGTTTAATTTAATTAGATTTCAGGAGTTCAACCTTTTATAGTCCCGAAGATTTCCTCATTTTATATCTTTATTCAGAAGAGTATGGGTTTAAAATTTAAAATAAACTGTTAGACATTGCACTCTTTTCAACTGTCCTTATGTTTCTTCATTTCTTTCTCCCATGTTATCTTTTCTGATCACATTTTGTTACATGCTAAAATATATTATGACATTATTAGAATATTATGACATAATTTATATGCAAGTAAATTGAATTAAAAAACTTGTGAGACGGGTTTTCCTTAAGTCCAACGAGAATAAGGTTAGATTCAAAATTTTCATCCCCATATGCTTCAAACTTGGCCTGTTCTTTGTTACAGCAAAAAGAGGGGTAAAAACAACCCTAACCCATTTTATTTGTCATGTTTAATTATAATGATAACAAGGTAGCACTTAATTATGCTTCTATTTACACCGTAAATCCATTAAATCTACATTACATCATTGTTGATGTAAAATAAAACAAATAATTCTTTATTTTAAAAAAGTAACAAAACAACCATAGCTATATAATAATATTAGTAGAAGAATAATATAGTTATATATTTGTATTGGTTTATATTTTCTAACAATTTAGTAAAATTCAAAATCTTATAAATTTAATATACTTTTTTTGAAATCATATTAACCTATTGTAGGCATTACTGTAATGACCTAAAAATTTTCACGTCTCAAAGACTGAAAGTGGTGAAGGAAAAGCTCCTAGGTTTTGGGTATATAAATAGGTTTTTTAGTTCTTAAAAAAATTATTTAATTAAAGTATTTATCATTTATCTACTCATTAATAAATTGCTTTTACAAATTTTTAAATTATATTATAAAACTGGTTTTTTATGAACTCTCGTAAACATTAGACAAATGTTTGTAATAATAAAACCACATATGTGAGTAGAGAGGATAATTAAATAGCAATTTTTTTATTAAACATAGCTTGAACATGTTACATGCACATCTTATGGCCAAAGTCTTTTAATTCTCCTCTAATTTCATTGATTTAGCTTTATTAGTAGAATGTCCCAGGGTTTATTTTCCCCAATATTTTTACTTTGTTTTGACCAATTTTGATAAAAGAAAAGATAAGTTCAAATAAACTATAAATAACTTCTTTCAAATTAGTCAAAACAATTACAAAAATTATAATTATTATGAATAGCTTAGTAGGTTTATGGCCACTTTATCATATTTATTGCCTGTTCTATATTAAACAATATTGTAAATATATATATAGAGAGAGAGAGAAAAAAATTATTGAATTTACTTAAATAAAAAGTGACAATACCAACTTTAATAATAAGATTTTTCTTAAAATTAAGTTGAAAAAAAAAACTATTTTTGAAGTTAATATATGCAATATATTGAGTTCTTTTACGTTAAGATTGATTTTTCTTAAATAAAAATTATATTTTAAGATAAAAAGGTTGTTCTTTTTAAATAATAAATTTAATAAAAGTTGTAATTTATTTAAAGTGAATTATTTGAATTTTTTTAATTATTAAATAAATTAAATGTAAATTACTTAACAAAACTCCATCCATTCTAAATCTTTTGTTGTGTCATTTTTTTTTACTTTTCAAAATTCCAATATGAAATTTAGATTTTGTTTTTCAATTATACTCTAATTAAGTTTATTTCATAGTAAATTATTCATATATATTTGTTTTTTGACAACAACTTTTATATTGAAGTTATAATACTATATATCTATAAAAACTTACATTTAACAATAGGTACTATCTCGTGAAAAAGTTATATAAATAGATTATTCCTAAAAATTATGCATAATAAATAAGAACACTTTAGTTTAAGTTTATGCAAATTAAATATTTTAAACTCTAAAAAGAAACTTTGAAGCAACAAAATATTAAGAAAAGCTAGCTGTTGAAAAGGCAGCAATGAAGAATATTAATGTGAGAAAGGACACGTTATAGCAAAGAATAAGAAACCATACGACACGTTCAACTCTTGAAGCTTTTGTTTTGTATTTAAAGATTTTCACCAGTCCCAGTTTACGCCAAGCCGAGAGAAACCCTAGTCTGTTGACTAGGTCGTTGTTATCCAGATATCACGGGTCAACTCCAACATTTCTACGTTAATTAATGGAATTTAGTATATATATATATATATATATATATATATATATATATATATATATATATATATATATATACGTAGAAAAAAATTATATTTAAGTCTTACTTATATTTTAAAATAATCTTAATTTTAAAATCAATTGTTTAATTTTATGTTAAGTGTATCGAATTTATTCTTTAAAAATATTTAAATAAAAATAAAATAAATATATATTTAAATTATATTAATAAAATTAATTTTTATTAAAATATAATAATTTAATATACAAATTATAAAAATTAAATATATTTAATATGAAAATAAAAATTTAAAATTTATTTTTTATTATATTTTTTATTTTAATAATTTATTGATTTAAAATAATAATTAATCTTAACTATTATTCTTAAGTAGTTTTTAAAAACTTATTTTCATATTTATTTTTTTAATAAATAAATTTTTATTAAATTAATTTTAATATATATAAATTCTTTAGTAAAATAATAATTTTTATTTTAAAAATAATTATTATTTTATAAAATTAGTTAGCTCATTACTTAAATAGGCGAGTTTAGATAGAGTTTAGATTTTTTTTTTAAGTCTTTTACATTGATTCGATAAGACAAAGTTATTATGAGAATATATATATATATATATATATATATATATATATATATATATATATATATATATATATATAACTTTTGAAATGATTTAAATTTTTATAATATTTTTTTATTTCAGATATTATTTATGTTATAATAAATTAAATTGAATTTATATGGGTAAAAAATAAATTATATTCTAATAGTAATATATAAGGATATAAAAGATAAGAAAAATAGACTATATATTCAAATCTTAATATCTTGTGGTTGCAAGTTTTTTTTTTTTAAATACCTGTAAACTTTAAAATATTTTTATATTTAATTTTTAAACAATAAAAAATACTTGTAAATTTAATTTATATTTTAAAAAAAGTATCATTGTATACTATTATAGTAACTATTATCCTATTATATGGTATTCATTTAGTTTAAAATTAAAAACATAATTTTTAAAATTGAAACTGCAACCCATATATAACAGGAGTAAAATAAGAAGTTGTGATGATTCGGAGCTACAAAACCAAAACCTCTGAAAGTGGAAAGTGGGTAACGAAGCATTCTTATTCCATGTTACTTGACTTGACTAACAAGAGAACATAATTTATTGGAAATGACCCCTCAAAATGGGGCCCATATTCTAATTTAACAATCTATGATGAGAGGTATAGTTGTGGTTAAGTTAGCTTCATTTTTTTTATTAAAAATTCATCTAAATATAGAAGCTAATTATACCTAATTTATTTAATTCAATATAATAAGTATATTTGATATGAGTCAGTTTTTACAGTTTTTTTAGTAAAATATTAAATATGTTTTTAAAATAATTAAATATTTATAATAAATAACCTCTAATAGAAAAGTATAATAATTTTTTATATTTTTATTTTATTTTTATTTTAGTTTATTCATAAATAAATTACATATTTTACATTTTAAAATTATACTAAAAATGTTATTTCTTGATAAGTAATTAAATTAATTTTAAATAAATATACTACATTTATTAAATTTTAGTAATTTTAAGTATATTTTATTATATTTAAATATAATAAAAATTTTAATTCAAATTTGATTGAGTTACTCTCAATCTAAAATATAAAATCAGTAGAAAAACATCTAAAAGTTTAATTTTAATAATTTTCAATTTTTTAAAAATTAGTTTTGATTTATTTTTTTAATTAAGTTGATTTTAAATTCCCCTTATTACACGTACATATTGTTAGAAAGAGTCAAAAATTAATTTCACATGGATAAGCCTCACTCATGATATCATAATGTTATTTTAATTAGTTTAAAGGGTGTATACAAGACTATACAAAGTTTTTCTAACACAAATAAATCTTTTTATTTATATATATGCATATAATTATATTTTTTATGGTTATTGTTAATCAAAATATTAATTTTTATATCTTTTAGATAATTTTTTTCTCTTTATATTAAATATGATCTTGCAATACAATATAAACTATTTATCATAAATTTAAATATAATTTTTATGCTAAAAATTATTTATAAACTATAAATTTCATATTTATCTAATATTTCTCACAAACTAAAATATATTTAATTAATATATATGTAGAGGAAGATTGATTGATTGATTTATAATTTTATAATAATCTATTTCAATAATTTTTATAGTGAAAAACATATATTTTTCAAAAATGTTAACCACACTATTTTTTTATATACTTGTTATTAATTGGTCAACATTTATTTAATTTCAAAAATATTTAAGTTTTTTTCTTATTCAATGTTTTTTCCTCGTTATTTTACAATTTAAATTAATTTTAAAAAATAGTAAAAGAATACATTAGAAATAATATGTTAGAACTTGTGAACAAAATAAAGACTTTTATGGTCCATATGTTCACACACGCACCTTCTTCAAACACCTTTATAAATGGGTGCCATCAATTGCATCTCAAACCAAACCAAACCAAACCAAGAAGGCGACACACGCAACAAAACCCTAGAACACATGGAGTCCCTGAGCAAAGCCTCATTCCTCTTACTCCCTCTCTTGTTGCTTTCCCTGTTCAGACATTCCCATGGTGCAGGAATCGCTGTGTACTGGGGTCAAAACGGTGGAGAAGGCACCTTAGCAGATACTTGCAACACACAAAACTTCCAATTTGTGAACATAGCTTTTTTGTCCACTTTTGGCAATGGCCAAACCCCTCAACTGAACCTTGCAGGCCACTGTGACCCCCTCAACAATGGGTGCACAGGGTTGAGCAGTGACATCACAACTTGCCAAAACGGTGGCGTCAAAGTGTTGCTCTCCCTTGGAGGTAGTGCTGGAAGCTACTCCCTCAACTCAGCTGCGGAAGCCACTCAACTTGCAACCTACCTTTGGAACAATTTTCTTGGAGGACAATCTGGTAAGACTGTTTCACTTTTTATTTTTGGATGAATTTGATTATAACAAAACTAACATATCCTAATTTCATTGGACTCTCTGTAGGGAAGAATAACTATACGTAGTAGTACACTTTTCATTAATTACACATGTAAAAAAAAAACTTTTGTTTTTTAATTCATCTTGTCTTGTCCTTACTATAAAGATAAAATTGATTAAAACTAACAAAATTCCGTGGGCTTCATTAACACAAATTATTAAATTTTATTATATAACTTCGAAAGCTTATAAAGTAATTAATATCACTTTCTTAACTTTTTGTTTATTTCTCTATAACATATATGGTCATGTGATGTTGTTTAATCTAGATATGGACTCATTTTTTTTTAACTCTCTCTGTTGGGGTTATAGTTTTTTCTTTTTTCTCTTTTTAGATAAGAGTTATATGATAGTAGTATTAGGTTTTCACCATTTTGTTTCTTTTGTAATTCAGATTCAAGACCATTAGGTGATGCAATATTGGATGGCATTGACTTTGACATTGAGTCTGGTGGGGGAGAACATTGGGATGAACTAGTGAAGGCACTGAATGACTTAAGTTCCCAAAGAAAGGTGTACTTGTCTGCAGCCCCACAGTGCATAATCCCTGATCAACACTTGAATTCTGCCATCCAAACTGGACTTTTTGACTATGTGTGGGTTCAGTTCTACAACAATCCTTCGTGCCAATACTCCAGTGGAAATACCAACGACTTGATCAATTCATGGAACCAATGGATCACTGTGCCAGCCACGCAAGTCTTCATGGGACTTCCTGCATCAGAAGCAGCTGCTCCAAGCGGTGGTTTTATCCCTTCTGATGTGTTAATTTCTCAGGTTCTTCCTCAGATAAAACAGTCTTCAAAGTATGGAGGAATCATGCTCTGGGATAGATTCAATGATATCCAGAATAGTTATAGCAACGCTATTGTTGGAAGCGTTAATTAGTTGTAATTAATAGTTAAACACTGCCTAAATAATTAATAATCGCCACATGTAGTTGATTTTGTTGCTATTACGTACTGAATGTGTTGTGAAAGCAATATATGTTTATTGTAACACTTGCCTTACAAGTTACAAACAAAATAATGTACTCAATTATAAAAAGTCCATTCTGAAGTGTCATTTTCAATCTTTCTCATGTATGAAATTTTTGTTCTTCTTCTCAATATTTTTGTTGTATTTATTCTTCTACCAGTTCATAACCTATGTTATACACGGGACGTATATTTTATAAAGGTTTACAATTTTTTTATTTAATTTAAAATATTTGGAAAACTATATTAGAAATCCACATTCAATTTAAAAAAAAAAAGGATTTAAATTATATTCAATATTAATATTTTGTAATTTTAAATGATAAATTAATTATATTGTTTTATAATTATATTTTGACGAAAAATAAATTCTATTACATTGATGATATTTATAGTTTATAAGCAAAATTTGGAGTAATTTAAACTGTAAAAAATAAATAAATTAGATGTAATTACTTCAAAAATATTGTTAAATTAATATTTAATATATATTTCATTAACCCTTATTTAAGATTATAATTGTTATTATAAGTGTTTACTACAATAGAAACAAAATTAAGAATCAATTAAAATTTATTTTTAATTTATTTTTGTATTAAAAAAATTAAAATCGATTGATTCGGTTTAATTTTTATGTTGACATAGAAACAAATTCAAATCAAATCAAACTAAAATTATAATATATATTATTAAAATTAAAATATAAAATAATACATACTATTTAATTAATCGTTTTTTTATTAAACAAATATTATAACATATTTTATAATTTTATAATTAAAAAATAGTCTAAATAAACTGTAAAATAGTGTGATTTAGTTTAAATGTTTTTAAAAGTTGAAATCAAGTTCGAATCACATTTGAATTTGATTTTAGTTTGGACAAGTTTTTATTTGAAGAAAGAAGTAAACCACAGGGAAAACTCATACATCTAATCATGCTACAAGATTTGATATCTAGGGATGTGCTTTTGGAATCAAACAAGAGGGTTTTTGTGACTTATGCCTTATTTTAATATTATATTAATATTATTGTGCAATATGCATAATAAATTTTTTTCTTATATATGCATACTGAAGTGGGGGAGGAGGAGAATCAAAATTTTTCTCTCATCATTCTTCTTCTATTGTCTAAATTTCAAGTAACGAGACTCTACTCGTGCGAGGATCCGGTGAAACGGAGAGAGCTTGAATTAAGTAGGAAAACTTCGGTAAAAATACCATACCGGGTAAGGGGAAGTTTAATTCATTCAATATATGAAATTGAATTGCTTGGGTACTCTGTGAATAAGGAATAGGAGTAGAGATATGAATTATTTGAATGTCTGATTTTGAAGAATTTCGATTTTGATGAACTGGTTCATCGTTTGAAAGTTTTTGAAATTCTTGAAATTAAGAATGCATTATATAATAAAATTGTTGTTTTTAACTTAAATTGAACATGTTTATGGTTTAATTTTGATTTGGAACTAATTTGGGTGATTGAAACCGAGAAATTTGAAACCTGAATTTTGAAATTGGCGTAATGGAGGTGATTACTATTCATATTTTGCAAAGTTTTAAATATTGATTAAATTCTTGAAATTAAGGATGAATTATATGGTAAAATTGTTGTTTTCAACTTAAATTAGATATAATTCATGTTTAATTTCGATTTAGGACTAGTTTGGTTGTCTAAAACTGAGTAATTTGAAATCTGCCAAAATCTGCAAATTTTGACACTAATATTGGGCGAAGGAAGAAGAAAGGGATATGCTGGGGATTTTTTTAAAAGATCAAGGGTAAAATAATCATTTTACATCCTAGGGACATAAATGGAATTTTTGAAATTGTTCAAGGGTAAAATAGTCATTTTATATTCTAGGGACATAAATGTAATTTTTGAAAATGGTCAAGGGCAAAATAGTCATTTTACATCCTAGGGACATAAATGGAATTTTTGAAATTGTTCAAGGGTAAAATAGTCATTTTTGGGACATGGAAGGAATTTTTGAAAATGTCCAAGCGCAAAATAGTCATTTTCGGGACATGTAAGGAATTTTCAAAAATGTCCAAGGGTAAAATAGTCATTTTGGGGCATACATGGAATTTTAAGAAAAGATTAAGGGCAAAATAGTAATTTAATGATTTCGAAAATGATTTCGAAAATAGTTTCGGAAATAGTTTCGGAAATGATTTCGGAAATGATTTTAGAAAAAAAAATATATATATATATATATATATATATATATATATATATATATAGAGAGAGAGAATGAAAGTAGTGTGTTGTGACGTATGTGGGTCGGACCGAGCCTGAGGGCTGATGCCCAGAATCAGTCCTGAGACGTTATATATTGGCTAGACTGAGCCAGAGAGTTGGTGCCATAATCAGTCAAATACTATTTTTATTGACCCGAATGAGCCGTGAGGACAGATGGTCCAGAATCCGGCAAATGTGAATAATTTTTGTTATGTTTGAATGGTACCCGGGGTGGTACAGAGTACATTAATGTAATAACTATGTCGGAGGATTCTGAATGAGGTCCCAAACTTCACTGATTGGTCGGGTCAGGTAGACTACGAGATCAGGTGGTGAGAAGTCGATAGGGGGATGACTGGTGGCGCGCTCGGAGGGGTACTCCAGTATGAGTGATGAAGGGCACCAGTAATCCTACTCTGTGTGGAGGGTGGTCAGAATGGTACTGCGGGTACCGATCACAATGTGCCCACAGATGATAGTCTCTAAGTTCGGACATAGTTAGGGTATATTTCCGGAAGGTGTTTTAGTGTATTGATAATTTCGTAATTGATCATAATATATAATTATTACTTCTATATCTGTTTTATTATATCGAATGATTTAATACTTACCCCTATTTTTCCATGTGGATGGGACTGCGATGATCACTTTTATGTGGGAGCAGATCAGGAGTTGAGAGATGGTGATGTGACTATTGGACGATAGGGATAGTTCGATGGGATAGCTTCGAGGAGCTACTTTTACATGTATAATATATAAATAAATTATGTTACTATATTTTGAAGTTCGTTAGTGAACTCGAATTTCAATATATGTTACAATTACGATAATATAATGTAAAATAGATGTTGTTATTTACTTGTTTACTACTTTGCGAAAACATCATTATAGTAGCAATTTCTAGGGTCGTTACAGTTTTAATCCTAAAAATTTGGTTAAGTATAATGAAAAGTATAATTATTTATATAATATTATCTATTTTATTTTATATACATGTTAAAAAAATCAGTTTAAAGAAACTTGAAAGATATATCATGCAGGGATTGTGATTGAGAATAAGAGTAAATACGTTTCGATTTTGTTCCATTGAGACAATGTTTTAACTTTAGCCTTTGTTAACCATTCAATCCATATCAACATTCTAATAAAATAGATTGGATTTTCTTCCAACAAAGTCTTATCAAATTATTACCTCAATCTAGAACACCTAATATCAACAAACTTGAATTTAGATATATTTAATTAAATCAAATTGATTTAGATATCTTTTCAATTTAGCTTAAATTTAAATTAGATTAAATTTATATATATTAAATAATTTAAATCAATAAAATTATTTTTAAAATTAAGACTAACTATATGATAGTTCAAATAATTTTAAAGATCAAGTTGTTAATTTAAAGAGAGAAGTTATAATATACAATAACTAATAATAACATAAGTATTTAATAAAAATATTATTTTTTGATGAATTTATTAGCAGTTTTTCATTTTTTAATATTTTTTTTATTATATGACAATACGAGTATGTATTTTATAAGGTTATTCAAAAAATTAGTTTGAAACATCAGTGAAAACAAATAATTTTTTATGTGTGTAAATTTTTAATATAATGACTTTTTATTTATAATCTTTAGAAAATAAATAATAATTTATATAATAAATAAATTGTATTATTAATATAATGACCTATGACACCTCAAATATTCTCTAAATAAAAAAAATTGCATGTCAAATAAATATTGACTAAATAATTTATTAAAATAAATCTTAACTTTGAATGTTTAAATTAAAAAAAAAGTTAATTCATATGTAATTAATTTAATTAAAATTAAAAATATAAATATAAATTTATATTTGCAAAAGATTTATTAAAATTAATTTTTTTTAAGTGATTTGAACATGAATAATTATAAATTAGATTTAAATATTTTGATATTTTATCCCTCTACTCTCGGCATTGTTTGTGGCCATGCGAATTTAGATTATGATGGAGCGTCACTGGGCCTTATCCGCAACCGTTCGGCTCATTCTTATTGCATCCCATACATTTTTCTCGGACTCATATTTATTAAAAAAAAAAACAATAGTCTTTCAAAAATTCTTTTAATATATTTTTTTAATATTTTAAATTTACCTTCCTAAAATGAATTTTCCAGAAATATTTTGACTTGATTTTTTTTTAAACATTCTATAATCAATATTTTAGACATTTTTTCTAATTTTTTATAAAAACATTTTAGAATTAGATTTCTGAAGTATTTCCAATTAACTTTTCCAAAATAATAAAATTATATTACATTAAAAAATATTTCTTATTTTTTTAAATTTTAAATTTTTTTTTATAAGGATAAAATTATGTTCTAGATTTTTATGAAAATTAAAAAAAAATTATATATTTTAAGGTTAAAAATAAATATTTTAAAAATTTGTCCCCACTTAGAAACATTTTTGGACCCTCCCTTTAGGAGGAATCTAATACATAGCATAAACGAGTGGCGACAAAAGCTTTTTTCAAAAAAGGCACGTGCTAGAAACCTCATTTTCAATTGACATTGATAGAAAGTTATCCTCAATACAATATCTTTTAATTCAATTCAAAATATTAGATTCTCATATGGTTTGTTTATAATTAACATCTTAATTTTATCGCTTAATTTTTTTCACTGAAAAATAATTAAAACTAAAATTAACTTTTTTTTAATGATAAAAATTAAAAACATTTAAACCACTTTTTTCTGTAATATAACAATTATGATGAATTATTATATTAAAAAATATAAAATGAAATAAACTTTTAATTTTAATTTTTAAAATAAATTTTGAATTTATTATTTTTAGAATAAGTCTCTCTAATTATTATTTAAAATAAATAAATATTTCTTATATATATATATATATATATATATATATATATATATATATATATATATATATATATATATATATATATAATGGGAGAGTACTGAAGTTGATAAGGAGAGGGTATGTGTTGTGGATAATGTCTTGGTTTGGAGGGTGCATGAGAAATTTGACATGCGTAATAATGATTAATTTCTTTGTGTTTGATGAAAACATCTTGTTTTTTCAAAAAAAATTTACAATAAGAAAATAATTTTGAATATATTTCACATAAAATGAAGTGTGAGCTTAAAAGTGTTTCACAGTAGACCATTGCTGCCACACAGTTGGAAGTGATAATATTACCAGAAAATGGCAGAGGAGTCCTTAACCCTAATCCACAAAATGTGTATCATCATATATTCTATGCGTAGTTTTTAATGTTTCACATAAAAGTTTCAGCCGGAAAAACTCGTGCCAGAAAACATCATTTTCACTTTTCGTAGTTCATGTCGAAGCCAAGTAGCCACATGAACAGTATTACAAGGTTGGTTATTGTTTAGTTAATCCTAAATTAAATTTCTGCTATTGAACATAATATTATTAAAGTATATTAAAATTTCCTAGTTCGCTTAAATAACATTCCCAAGTTTAAATTTTGGAAAATTAGTCACTTAAATAGTTACTCCTTATTCTTCTTACCCTCCATTTATTTTTATTTTTTTTAAAACGTAAACGCAAAGGTGAATTCTTTTGTATTGTTCTGTCCTCGGTTTGAGAAAGAAAAGATCAAGTTGCATTCTTCAATTGTTGTTGCTCTGTTCACGGCCTCGTGTAGAAACCATGTAATATCTTCCTTTATTTTCGTCCTTTCACGTTTGTCTTCTTTCCAAGTACATCTTCAAAATGAGATACAACAAACTTTATCATTTCCCACAAAATTAATGTTGTCTCTGTCTTAAAAAACTTCAATCTTAGCTCTTAAATTTTGAAAAATTAGCGTATGCTTTCAATTTTCAATAAAATATTGATTTTTACTCTTAATTCGTCTCCAAATATTTATTGAAAGAATAATTATACTTATAATTGATAAAAATAACATATATCTGTTAGAAGTTAAAGTATGGAATTATTTATTAGTTTTAGTTTGTATAAAAAACTTGAAATTACAGTTTATTTTAGACAGAAAGTGCATATTGAGTGTTTACTATATTTTGTGGAATAGACGTAAGATGCAGCATAAGAGAAACTTTTATTTAATACGAAATCCATTACATGCATGTAATCAAACATGCATAGATTGCCCTAGACAGTTTCTACCTGCAACTTTATTCCGTTGCTATTAACTCATAAACACGATTTTGCATGGATCAACCAAACATTCCCAGCGACGCAGAACCAAGACCGTAGAAACCGTTCCATGCATCATCATCACACACACATCTACAACCTTTTGGAACGCTGTCTTTTATCTGAGCAGAGTAGTTACTACTCAGATCATAACCTCTGTCCCAAATCATAACCCCACCATAGTTTGAAGATTGCTTTATGGTTGGCAGAACCTTAGTAATAAGATCTTCGGGTGGTATATACCCTGCTACCTCATCGGAAGCCACCAGTCCCAAAAATATTTTGCTCTTGGGAACACCTGTGGTCCATTTGTTCCACTCTTTCAAAAGATTGGCAGCGTCTCCGTTTGCGTAAATGCAAGGGTTCTGGTAGAAGAACTCAACCCAGATGTAGTCAAAAAGGCCAGTGCTGATTGCTGTGCCAAGGTAGTAATCAGGGTACACACATTCTGGTGATGCGGACAAGTAAATTTTTCTGGCTGTTGTGGATGCGTTAATGGCCCTAACAACTTCATCCCATTTTAGGTTTTCACCGTCCTGCACGTCAGCAATGTCGATGCCGTCTAGGGTTACGCTTCCCAGTGGACCAGAGTTGCCACTAAGGAAATTCTCCAAGAGGTAGCTTGCAAGGTTTTCTGCTGCTGTGATGTTGGAGCTGGAGTAGTGGCGGTGGTTTTTGGTTTTTAGGACTGTTCTGGCTTGGCCAATGGAAAGGAACACTTTGATGCTTTTATTTTTTTGGCAGTATTCTATTTCTGGCTGTAGCTTGGAGCAAGAATTGCCACAATGTTCGGCCAAGTTTATTTGCGGATCACTGCCATTATCGTACACCAGAAGGCTTTCGAGGATCACGATGTTGTAGTTCCCACTGGAACATAGGCTCTGTAAGGTGCCTTCTGTTTCATTGGACTTTTGGCCCCAGTAAACCGAAATAGCACCGGCGCCAGCGCAATCAGCTGCGCTGGACATGGTTGTGAAGGAGAGGGTTACAAGGGCCAAAAGGAGCAATGGTATCAATTCTGGTTTTGGAAAAGTCATGGTTGTTTCTAGGGTTTTGTGGTATTGTTGTTTAGGTGGATAAGTTTGAAGGCAAGAGAAAGAACCAATTTATAGTGGAGCTTGTTTTGTCTGGACATTAACAAACCTACTGTCCCTTTACTGCACATGTTTTTAATGCGAAAACTGGTAGGAAAAGAAGAACAAACTACCCTATTATTTTGACACCCTCCGATAAATAACTCATCTACAATCCTTTTTATTAATATTTATTTATAATAATAATACTAATAATAATTAATATATTAATTAAAATAATTTTTCAATTATATATATATATATATATATATTTCACATTTAATTAGAAAACCATTTTTTCTTTTAAAAAATATTTTATTTATACATACCAGAGTTTTTAAACATATATAAAAGATTTTAGTAAAGATTAATCACTTATTAGGGAAAGACTTTTTTTTTCTTTAACTTATATAAACTAAAAACAACGTTTAATCATTTCGTTAAAAGTGATCAGTATAATTCTTCTATATGCATTAGTTAAGATTTTTTTTTCACTGCAACACCTCAAAGTTTATCTTATAAATTTTATAAAATATAAAATATTAATTATAATATTTGTAATTAAATTTAAATTTTTTATAATAAAATATTTATTTATTAAAAATTATAATTTTTTATTAAAAATAAATAAACAAATATCTATTAAAATATTATAATTTAAATAATTATTAAATGGATAAATAAAAGAAATAAGATAAAAAAAAGATATTTATCATTTTATTAATTTTATTTATATTTATGATTAGTAAGTGGAATGTTCTAATCTTATCTTATTTATTTATTTATTTTATTTGTCTTATAAGTCATTTTTATATTTATTATCCTTTATTATCTTTAATTATGTATATTCTCTTTTATATTTATTTATTTAATCTTCAGTTATAAACTAATTTTTTTTTGTATTTATTTAATTTATTTATCATTTTTTATATTTATTTATTTAATTATATCTAATTAAAGTTTTATTTACTTATTTTAAGTTATATATGGGTTTTATATTATATTTATTTATTTAATCTAATTTTGGTTACATATTAATATTTTATTCATTTTTATTTATATTATTAAATTATTTTTAAAAAAATTTAAAGAATAATATTTTATGAAGATTTGATAAGGTTGAATATAAATAAGTAAACATAATGCTTAATTTTGTGCTTATTTATCCTAATTAATCAAGAAAAAAATCAATTTAAATGTTCCTAATATAAAATGAAATAAAATACATAATAAAATTAAAAGGGTAATTTTTTATATTATTTTGAGATAATATTATTTTACTACAATATTTGTTCACTCTTCTATTTTATCTTTTGTGCATCAAACAATTAAATATATCAACTTAAATAAACAAAAGCATCAAACTTAAAAATAAATTTCAATAATAACCACTTTTAAGAAATTTTTTTTATCAACTTTAATATTTATTTATGATATGAAAACAATATAAATTTATAAATTTAATATATATATATATATATATATAATATATAAATATATAAACATTTATATGTCTTACTTTTATTTATATTTAATAGAAAGTTAATTCATAAAATATAGTTAAATTAGTAATTTTATTAAGAGTTAATAAAAAAAATTATCCCTTCAAATATAACTTAATTAATAGTTAAAAAAAGGGTATTATCTGAGAAATAATTTTAAATAAGATTGTTTAACCTCGTTTTGAATTGAATAAGTTAGAGAAAGTTATATTGTTGTGTATGAAAAATATGCGTAGATGAGCGTGTTCAATTCTTGAAGTTGAGGCAATGATTCAATGTTTTATGGTACATGGGACCATCAAGATACGTGGAAGAAACGATTGCTACTCTCCCTCCATAAGGTATTGTCTCACACTGGGGTCAAAAAATTAATGATTTGAGTTTAAGGAAGAAGATACAGATCAGAGAAGGAAGAAAAGAAAGGTGAGAGTTTTTGTCACCTACGAAAGCCAGGAAATGAAAAGAAATATATGGGAGAGAGACCAAAGAATTTTATACAACTACTTTGCCTCTCATTTGTTCACAACAAATATTGCTGCCTTGTAGTTCCAGAGATATAGTCGTTGCTGGCTTTTTATTAGATGCTTCAATTTTTCTTCTTAAAAAAATTATAAAAACGATCTCAGTATTATTTTTTTAATTTAATTACAATTAAATATAATTAAAGTCGTATTACTTAATAAAACTTTAAATATATATTTTTTTAAATTAATGATTTATATATAAAAATTAATTGTAAATTATTAATAAAATATATATTATATATAATATACATATAAAATTATTATTAGTTATATATATATATATATATATCATTATAAAGTAATTTTATTTAAAAAATTAATTAACTTATATATATATATATATATATATTATATAATATAATTTATAATAATTTTATATCAAAATTATATGTAGAAAAATATATGTAACTTCTACATATATAAAAATATAAATTTTAAAAAAATAATTAGTTTATATATAATTTTTAAAAATTATAAATTATATATATATATATATATTAAAATATAAATACTAAATTTATTAATTCAATTGATAACTTTAATTTATACTTATTTTAAATTTTAAATAAAATTAATTATAATGGTGTATATTTATATTTATTTATTTTATTAATATTTTATCAGCAATTTATATATATATATATATATATTTATATTTTTCAAAATAAAATGTATAATTAACAACTTATATTCAATTATAATTCATCTGATAGTAACATGAGTTTATTTATATTTAATTATAACTAAATGTATACTACGTCACATAATTTTAATTTTAAAAACAATCCTAAAATAATATAATATCATTTTTTTCATATTTAAAATCATTTTACGAAACATAACCTAATATTTTTTTAATAATTTTTTAAAAAACAATCAATTTAATAAAATTAGAGAAAATTTAACTAGTAAAAAAAGTCCATTTGAAACTGGCAATGAGAACCAAGTAAAAAGCATCTTTATCCCTCTGTATACTCGGTTGGTTCACGTCTTTTTCTCTTTGTTTTGTTAACTCATTGTTTTATTTATTTATTTCATCATAGTCATGGTTTTTTGCTTCTTTTAATTTTTATTTTTTACTTTACTATTATTAATCACTACTAACACCTTTAAAATAACTTTCTTGGAAGTGTTTTATTTATTTATTATCACTATTTTATCATTTTAATACAATTTTGTGTATCGTTATTAAAGACATATTAAGAATATAAGAAAATTAATTATTTTTAGTAAAAAAAAATCAAATAAAATGTTTATGATGGTGGTTGGATAAGCTTTCCTTTGACGACATTGAGATTCAAATAAGTTCCATGGATAAAGATAATTAGATGACACGTATTGAAAAGTTATAAGTATTTTTTTTATGGAGAAAAAAATAATATTATCATCACAATTTTTCGAGCTTTCTATAATATATTAAGAACTTAATGGTATAAATAATTTCCACAGAAGTTTGAAGAAGAAAACCACGTGCTAGAAAACATCATTTTCATTATGACAACGGCAAGGACAAGTAATAATGTCCAATTCGCTCTATCACGAGGTTCGTTTCCCCTATCGCGTTGAAATGAATACAAGAAAACAAATCTAAACATAAAAATTATTGAGTAAAAGAAAATTAAATTTTAATTTATATTTTATCCATCTATTTTGAATAAATTCGAAATTCATTCAAAATATTTTGTTGTCTACCCATTTTTGTTAAATGTCACATAATATAAAGATTATTTTAATATATCATATATATTAGAAGAGTTTTATTAAAGACAAGAGTAAATTCTTACGTATCTATTTTGAAACTTTCTTTCATCACTGTTTTATGTCTTATGTCTTGGTGAATTAAAGAAAAATGATGTATTTAAATTATTCTTTAATTTTGATTCTAAAGAATTATATATATATATATATATATATATATATATAATATTTTTATTATAATTTATAATTAAAATAAATATATATTAAAATTAAGATATAATTTAATTTAAAGTAATTATTTTAAAAAATAAATCAAAATTTGCATAAACTAAAATAATTATTTTTCGTGTGTACTTCAATTCCCTCTGAGAAAAAAGAGTTGCCACATTTTATGCACCAAAAAGGGTTTGCTCCATGCTTTCTCTTGCGGTGAATATAAAGAAAGAGTCCTGAAATTCTTCAGTGCCCTTCACCTCGATGGTCTATTGCAACCTACAATAGCACCCTAAAAAATATTATAGACCACTTCAAAACTTATGCTTAGGTGACCATCTGGTCAGTTAAAATTAGCGACAACAAATGTTGCTTTTGTACAATGATCCCAGGTTACAATCAAGTGACAAACACAAATTACATGCTATAAACATTCCCAAAACCAAATTCATCTTTGAAATACGAAAAATAATAACTCAATTACCAATGTGAAACCATCCATCTTTGATAGCTTCCTTTAACTTTGAATTTTAGTAGTAACAAAATGAAATGATATAAAATAGGATGATTGATTCCTCTTGCATTAAGGATTTAACAACTAATATTGAACATCAAAGATACAATATGTTTTCCAAATACATTTTGATTTACTATATATACTACACTTAATCTTCATAAACAAATAGATAATGCATAAATGTTTTATATTGTTGTGACGTATGATTTTTTAATAATATTACTGTGCAAGAAAACTTCGTAATGAAGTTTTTCTCATGCACAGTAGAAATCTTTCTTTTAAATGTTCGAAGGGGGAGGAATGGTTACAGCGAGAAATTCTTCCTCCCATATCACGTGTTCCTCATTCTTCTTCTTTTGTCTAAATTGCAAGCAACGATACTCTACTCCTGCAGGATCTGGTGAAACAAAAGAGAGTTTGAATTAAGTGGGAAAACTTCGGTAGAAATACCACACCAGGTAATGGGAAATTTAATTCATTCAATATATGAAATTGAATTACTGGGTACTCTGTGCATAAGGAATAGGAGTAGAGATATGAATTATTTGAATGTCTGATTTTGAAGAATTTCTGATTCTGATGAACTATTTACCGTTTGAAATTTTCTTTGAAATTCTTAAAATTAAGGATGAATTATATGGTAAAATTGTTGTTTTCAACTTAAATTAGATATAATTCATGTTTAATTTGAATTTGGGACCAATTTGGTTGTCTAAAACTGAGTAATTTGAAATCTGTCAAAATCTGCAAAATTTGTTATTGTTATTGGCGCGAAGAAGAAGAAAGGGACATGGAAGGAATTTTTGAAAATGTTCAAGGGTAAAATAGTCATTTTACATCCTAGGGACATAAATGGAATTTTTGAAAAATGTCCAAGGGTAAAATAGTAATTTAGGGACATACATGGAATTTTCGGAAAATATTAAGGGCAAAATAGTAATTTAATGATTTCGAAAAAGATTTCGAAATGATTTTGGAAGAGATTTTGGAAATGATTTCGGAAGTGATTTCGGAAAAGAAGAAGAAGAAGAATAATATATATATATATATATATATATATATATATATATATATATATTTAAAATATAGAATGAATGTAGCGGTTTTAAAGATTTAGTAGAGTGTTGTGACGTGTGTAGGTCAGATTGAGTCTAAGGGCTGATGCCCATAATCAATCATGAGATGTTATGTATTGGCTAGACTGAGCCGGAGGGTTGGTGCACAGAATCAGTCACGTACTATTATTTATTGGCTTGAATAAGCCGTGAGGACAGGTGGTCCAGAATCCGGCAAATGTGAATGATTTTTGTTGTGTTTGAATGGTATCCGGGGTGGTACAAAGTACATTAGTGTAATAACTATGTCGGAGGATTCTGAATGAGGTCCCAGACTTTACTGATTGGTCGGGTCAGGTAGACTACGAGATCAGGTGATGAGAAGTCGATGGGGGGATGACTGGTGGCGCGCTCGGAGGGGTACTCCAATATGAGTGATGAAGGACGCCAGTAATCCTACTCTGTGTGGAGGGTGGTCAGAATGGTACTGCGGGTGCTGATCACAATGTGCCCACAGATGATAGCCTCTGAGTTCGGGCATAATTAGGATATGCTTCCGAAAGGTGTCTTAGTGTTTTGATGATTTTGTAATTGATCATAATATATAATTATTACTTCTATATCTGTTTTATTATATCGAATGATTTAATACTTACCCCTATTTTTCCATGTGGATGAGACTGCGATGATCACTTTTATGTTGAAGCAGATCAGTTGTTGAGAAATGGAGATGTGACTACTGGACAACAGGGATAATTCAGTGAAGTAGCTTCGAGGGAGCTACTTTTACATGTATAATATATAAATAAATTATGTTATTATATTTTGAGGTTCAGTTAGTGAACCGGAATTTCAATATATGTTACAATTACGAGTAATATAATGTAAGATAAATATCGTTATTTACTTGTTTACTATTTTGCGAAAACATCATTATAATAACAATTTCTAGAGTCGTTACAATTATCATATTAATAGTCATCAAAATTACATTTCCCAAAATAAACAAACATCGAAAAAAAAAAATTAATCAAGCAGGTGTTCATTGTTTTAAACACTAGTTAAAAAACAAAAAATACACACAATATAACTAAATAGAATGATCATGAGTAATAGAAAATATTTTAAAATCCTAAATACAACACAACAAAAATATTGAATTAGCTCCAACCGGTTCAAAACTAAAAACAAAAGATATGGATTCACTTACCAACACCAAGATCTAGATGAAGAAACTTCGTAAGCTTTAATGATGTTTATACCTTGCATGTTAAAGCATGTTAATTAGACATTTTGTAGAAGATATATGAATGTTTTGTAAAAACATGTTAATTTGACTTTGGCTTATCTTAAGAAAATTAACATGCTAAAATTAAACCACTTAAATATTTTAACTAAAACTATTTCAAGATAAATAAAACAACTGTTTATTTTTAATATAAATATATTAGAAAAACGTAAATCTATTTAATTAGTTAAAAAATCACTTATTTAAAAAAAACACACAATTTTAAAAAATTATAAATATGAAGCTTGTAATTATTAACTTCCTATTTTACTATTAAAAAATGCCATTTTTCTATTTATATTCTATACTATCTTATACTTTTTAATATTTTATTATTTAACAACTTATTTATTTATTTTTTATCAAAGTTGTCTCAGTTATTTAACCATCGATAAAAAATTATATTTTCTATATCAAATAATCGATATAAAAAATATAAAATAATCATCATAAAAATTTTCCTTACATAACATACGCTCTCACATGAAATATTGAATATCTTAAATTCAGATTAAATACTTATGATATTTGATAACATCTGACAGCATACAGAACCGGAAGAAAAATTGTTTCATGATTATATTCCATTCAAACCATAAATTATATTAAAAAAGCAATATAATTTAAATCTATAAAATCGATCAAATATAATATAAAATATTTTAAACAATATAAAATATGAAAAAGAATATGAAAAATATTTACAATAATATTTACCAATTGTTATTTTAAAGGATTATTCGATAATTTTTTATAATTAAAAATATTGATATATTAAAATCTTACATTAATTAAATGACAATATATAAAGAAAATGTAAATTTTATTTTACTAAATTAATTTTATAAAATAAAGAATTAAACAAAAATTTACAGGAGACACTACTTATATTTACGTTCTCATACTAATGATAAGCAATCAACATAAATTTTACATTATTTTCATTTCTTCTTTCTTTTGTGATTATTTTATTTTTATTTTATACTCAAATTTCTATTTACTTTTATCTTTGTTTTTTGGAACAATTCTACCCGAGAGTAAAATAACATTATTTCACGTTATTCCTCATTTAAAAAGAGATAAAAAAAGAATAACGATACAAAAACCACCATTATGTACATATTAGTTACAAATTAAGAATATAAGTTTATTTTTTTAATTTATCAAAAATTAATAACTCTCATCTATTTATAATAAATAATTAAAATATATCATAATAATTTAAAATCAGTTAATAATTTCTGATGAATGAGAAGATGTTAAAATATGTTTCACGGTCTGCCGTCGAAGCTATTTTATCAAATTTATTTTGAAAGCCTAATTAATTCCTCTTAATTGTCAAATAATTTTTATTTTTTTTCTCAGAATTTATTCATTGTACTAAAAATAAAATCTCTTGCTAAAACTTTTTTTTTTTTTTTCACTAACCAAAACTTTTGTCCGAACAATTTTAACCCAAATTAAGATGAAAGCACGTAAATGCTGATGAAAAGAATGGAAGCTGTTTAGCATGCTAAACAATATACATTTTCTATTGATGAATCTCGTACTTACATATATTAACAATTACTTAAAAGTAGGTTAAAACAAAGTAAAAACAAACTTCAATTTTATCTTGATTCTCTTATGTATTATGAGTATCATAATATCCCATAAATAAGGGACGTTTCATGGGACGTCGATTAAATATAAATTATTATTTAATAAAATTTAAAATAAATTTCAGCCATTAAAAATAATATTATTAAAGTGTATTAAAATTTATAATTTCAATGGGCTTATTATTGCATAAATTTAGTTAATTGTTAACTTGAGGTTACGATTTAAAACTGTTTAAACATTTTTACTTACTTATTTCTATTCACAGTATTTCTCTTGCAAGGATCCTTCCCTCTCCATAGCTTAAAAAACAACTTAAACTAACTCTATTAGGTACTTCCTTATACCATAGGTTTCTCAGAACAAAAACAAAAACAAAAATTCTACAAAAATACTAGAAAGCCACCATTCATTTTTTTTCATCTCACCATTTTCTCTTCAATTAACATTAAGAACAACAATTTTCATGATGACCTCTCTCATCCCTCCACAGCTACTTTTGACCATTATAATCGTTGTTATTTTAAATTCAAATATTAGTTTTGCAAAACAATCTAATGTTATTGATTCATGTTGGAGACTAAGTCCAGAATAGAGAAATCATCTATCTCAATTAGCCACATGTTCGGTGGGTCACGCGGGCAAGATGTCATATAATATTGGTGATGATCTTATTTATTATAAAGTTACTGATTCTAGTGATGATCCTATAAACCCAAAACCTAACACTTGAGATATGAAGCCTCTATGATTCAAGATAAAGTTTGGATTACATTCGAGAAAGACATGAACATCAACTTAAAGAAACCTCTTCTCATTAGTAGTTTTATCACCATTGATGGACGAGGTGTTAATATCCACGTAGCTAATAATGCATGCCTAATTATTTTTAAGGTAATCACCAACTCCTACTAATTAAACTTTCAAGCATAACAATTAAATATTAATTTTTTTTATTTTGATGAGTTAGGACTTTGTATATAACTTTTCTTATCTTTCTTTTCTAGGCAACCAACATAATTATACATGGTATCCAAATTTATCATTGCAAACCTCAAGCCCCGGGAATGGTAATGGGGCATGAGGGAAAGGTGATTCCTCTAGGCCATGTAGATGGGGATGCAATTAGATTGGTTACTGCTTCAAAGATTTGGATTGATCACAATACATTTTACAGTTGTCAAGATGGTTTGCTTGATGTAACTCGAGGTTCCACTTATTTGATTATATCTAATAATTGGTTCAAAAATCAAGATAAGGTTATGCTTCTTGGACTTGATGATGGATATGTGAGAGATCAAAACATGAAGGTTACTGTTGTGTATAATCATTTTGGACCAAATTGCAATCAACGCATGCCAAGGTAATTAATTGTTTAACAAAGAAATTAAATACAAAAATTTAAAAGTATTAACTAATACTAATTTGTTTTACTAACAAACAAATTAACGTTATAGGATTAATTCGACATGGATATGCACATGTTGCCAAACATATTTATCAAGGATGGCTCCAATGCGCCATTGGTGGAAGCATGAGACCAAGTCTTAAAAGTGAATCTAACCTCTTCATAGCTCCAACATCAGGAAATAAGGAGGTAATCAATTTGGAAGTTTCATTTGCACTATGTTATATTAATTCATAACTAATAAATACGTGTATAATGATTTTATTAATGTTATTATAATTATTTAATGTGTGTAGGTAACATGGAGAAAAAATAGTCCTAATAATAAAGGCAAATGGGAATTTCATTCATTGAGAGATATTTTTGAAAATGGAGCTTCTTTTACTACAACAAAAGGAAGAAGTGTGCCAAAACCAAATTATAATAATGAACAAAGATTTAAAGTTGTTGATGCTAAATTTGTGAGATCATTTACAAGTTCATCAGGAGTGTTACCAACTATGTAATAAAACATTTGTATATTGGTTAGAGGTTCAAACTCCCGTTGTTAGATTTCCGGTAAAAGAAGGAATATAATCCACCACCTAATACCCAAAATTACGCCAAATTTGTTATTAAAACACTTTGTGTTGAAGCGCCAGAAGATTGATCAAATCATTGGCATCTTTATTATTGAATTTGTGTTGTTCACAATTTGTTGAGTTTGTGTTGAATAATTGGCATTGTGCTTTGTAAATTAGTGATAACATTCTTACTTTGTGTTGTAAAATAATTATTTGTATTGTTTGAAATTTCACTATTATTAAAAATACTATTCTTATTAACATTTGACGTAAAAAGCAAAAACATATAAGAATAGTAAGAATGTGTTTTATAAAATAGAACAATTTAATGAGAGGTGTCAATTTGTTTTTGGAAAAAATAAATTATTCATTTATACTAGAATAAAAAAATGCATTTTTTTGTTACTAGAGTAAGGATTCTATAAACTCAAACAAAGAAATAGTCAATATAAGTATTTAGTTTATATTATTATATAAATTAATAACTAAGATGAAAAGATTTTCAATTCTATTGGACATAAAATAAAATGACATCCTTTGAAAAAAAAATCAGTTTTTAAATGTTGAAAATTGATGATAGTCCTCATTTTTCTATATTCTCAAAATAATATATTAAATTTTGTCTATAAAATAGTAACATCGATGAGAGAAATAAAAAAATGACTAGGAAAAAAAGTAATAAATATTAACACAAAAAAAAAAATCTTGTGATGAGGTTAAAAATATACAATTTCTGATAAATTTTGTGACAATCATGTGTTTTCTCAGAAAATGTGGTAACAAAAGTTGTCACATATATTTTTACCTATTTAGGGGAGAAAATGGCACTGTTGACTATTTCATCACAAATGTAGTCCCAAATTAAAAAATATTTAATTCACAATGCATTTTGTGAGAACGCTTGAGCATATTGCTTTGTTGTTGTGTGAATCGCCCTAAGTGTATGTTAAGTTGCAGTCATTCAAATATTTATTAAGTGAAAACAATTTATTTTAAGCATGAGTTACTTTAAGTGATTGTTTACTTGTGTTTAAGCAATTTGTTTTTTAACTTGTATAGATCAATACTAGGAAAATATTAGAATATTTTAGAAAATAATTTTGCATAATTTTATTTTTTTCTTATATATATTTTTAAGTATGTCGATCTTGTTATTATATCAAGTATATATTTAGTATTTGATAATGCGATAGTACGATAATTATGAAAAGAAAAAAAAAATCAAGCGAGAGATATAAAATATAATACTTCATAACAATGACTCTACCTCTTCATCCTCTCTAACATATCTTTGATTATATTTGGATTAACATATAATTCCTTTATCATGATCTCACTACAATTTTCGTATTTGTTTGGAAATTGGCATGGAGTAGGATTCCAAAACCTTGTTAAAAAAGCATCCTCTCAGAAGCTACATCTTGTCCTTTCTACATGTTGGAGGAGGAAATAACTTGTCATGTTCTTTTTAACTGCTTTATGGCTGAGAAGGTGTGGAATAAAAAGGCATTCATTCATCTCTTCTGAAGGATCCCAGAACACATTTTGTAATGGGGAAAGTAGAAAGACTAGCAGAGCTTGGTTAGTGGTTTGGGTTGCAGTTATTGCTTGGTCACTGAATGAGGTAATTTTCAAAGATGCACCGATTGATCTTGAGGAAGTTTTGGAATTGGCTAAGGTCATGTTGGGGCTTAGATTACTGCTATGGTGAAAGATGTACGATTTATAACTCTTTTGTCAATAACTTAACGTTTCAAATCTAAAATTTTTGTCCAAGACTTATCATTTGTGAATAATATCATAACGACGTGACAGTGGATAATTTAACAACAATGGAAAGAGTTTCATAATTATTTTAACCACACCTTCATTGTTACATGTGATCAATTTTATTTTATTTTATATACCAAAAAACCCCAATATTACATGACTCCCATAATTAAAGGTAGAAATTAATGACATATAAATTTAACTAGGAATAATAATTCTTTGTAGAATATTGATATTTTAAAACAAAGTGATTAATTTTATATATATACATGTGATATTAAAAGATATAATTCATTTTTTTTTTTTTGGTTTTATTCTTTTTCTCAGAAGTTTTACAGAGAAGCTTATCCTTCTCACCAAAATTACATGGAAAAATATATATCCACAATCTCTCGTAAAAAAGCTATCATCTAACAATTATTTTATTATTACAATAATACTTTAAATTTGTATGTTTACTATTATATTATTATTAAAGAGAGATGTTAAAAAAAAATTATAAATATCAATACTCAAGTTATATCTATATTCATTTATTTTGAGCATACAGGTAGATACTTTATTTTCTAGTAACTTCAGAAAAAGGATAAAAAAATTTCTTAGCCCAATTCTAATTTGCTAGAGACTTCTCAATGTTTCATACATAGTTATACGTATCTTATATGAAATTTTGGAAATTCGAAATAAAATACAAAAAATGAAATAGTCAATTATTTTTTAAGAGGATAAATCAACCACTGAACTTCAGTAACATCTAATAATATCTTTCTTTTAAAAGTTTCTTAATTAATATCCATATATAATTACATATTAATTAACATTGCTTTACTTGCCACTTACCTACTTTTGTAGTTGTTTAGGTGTCACTCACTACCTCAAATTTTGTTTTGTTTATATTAAATACACGTAAGAAAATGTTGCTTTGCATGTTATACCGTGTTAAATGAGTATTAATAAAATAATATGGAGTATAAATTAACAAATGTTCCTTGAAATAATGCTACACACTGTTAACATTTTGTCAGCTATTTTTACTTGGTCGTTTTTCCCATGGGTTACATAGATTGTATGTTACTTATATTTCTTATTTTTATTTAATGAGAACTTATTCTTGAATTCCAAGAATCTCTTATTCAAGTGGGAATCCATTTATATTGATACATTGTTTATGAAGCGGAATCATCTCTCAATAATTAATAAGTATTTTATATCACATCAATTTAACATAACCTTTGTGAATTAAAAATAAATACTAGTTATTGTATTTTGTGTGTGACCTTTTGGGGCTTGGTATTTCATTGTAACTAAGTTATTCTTTTTTCTTTGATTTTCTTTTTTCATAATGCTATTTTAATTTTATTTCATCACTAGTAAAAGCTCGTCTACATGAAAGTAATCGAAAGTGTCCACTTTTTGGAGACTAGACGAAAGTGATTAATTTGTGGTCCCTAACTTATTATTGGCAGGGAAATGGTTTATTAAAAACAAAACGCAGTTTGTGGTCCCTGCCGTATATATAACTCCAAAAAGAATTAGGTTTCCACATCGAATATGCTTTCACTAGTAAAAGCTGATGTATTTATAATTCTTTAATTGAAAAGACGGTGTGCAACATCAAAAATATTATCAAAAAAGGAAAAGAACACAATCATGGGACTATCTATTTGTAACTAATCCATGGAAAGTGTCCACTTTGTGGAGACAAAGTGAAAGAGACCGAATATGTTTTGTAATGAAGAAAGTGATTCATTTGAATGGAAGTGGTTATTACAAACAAAACCCAGTTTCATCGTCGGACAATAAACTAATATCACCTACCATCAATCCCACAACCAAAACAATGAAATGTTTTAAAAGGAAAATCATTCTATGAAATGTTAAATATGAACTAAACATATTTAAGACACAATTAACGGTATAGTAGAGACATTTTTTAATTGAACGCAATTAAAGGCAAATATGTATAATATATATGGATGTCTAATTTTTTTTTTTCAATATTAAAATCTAGTAGGAGTTGTTATAATAACTGAAAATAACGGATAGCCGATAAAATGTTAAGAGATTGTAGAAGTAATTTATTTCAGTGTTAATTGATATTGAGCGGTTTATTAATATTCATTTAAGAAGGGTTTAAACACTGAGAAAATGTATCAAAATTTTCTCATTCATATCATTATAGTTTTCTCATATTTGATGAAACTATATTTTTAGTTTTATAGGTTATACATTTTCTACAAAATAGAATGATCTTCTTGACGTTCATTTTGTTTACTTTTTGTGTTTTTTCATGAATTTTGGTATACTCCTCTCATAATTTGTTTTTAAGTTTTTCTTTTTTTATATATAGATTAGTCTTTCACATCTTTTTATAATAGAAAAAAAATTAGGTAGTGAGTGACACCTACACAACTACAAAAGCCAGGTCCACAAAAGAGTGAAAACTAAAGCATTAATTGTTACTTATATATGGATATTAATTGTAAGAACCCATTAGTAGTTTTGGCACATTGATGATAAAGAAGATAACGTCCACATCGCTAGGTAATGCATATTTAATAATATTTAAAATAATTATTAACTCTTACTAAAACATGTATGGATAATATTAAAAGAAAAAAATTATGTTCATGGGTTTATTGACCTATATGCAACTTTACTTATTTGATCATAGGGCACCAACCTAATTATTGATGCATTTGAGTTCATTACATTGCAAATCTAAAGTCCTTGGAGCCTAATGAGATTTGAAGGTGATTCCTTTAATTCATGTAGTTGTGAATGCAATAAGATTGATTATCCTTTCAAAGATTTGGATTTATCATATAATACATTTTCAAAGATTTGCACTTATCGTATAATATATTTTCAAAGATTTGAATTCATCGTACAATCTACTTTATGATACTAACGCAAGATTCCAACTTTGTAACTATCTCTAATAATTAGTTCAAGATACTACACCATTTGGGACATAATTTAAATCACGTGACAAGGTAAATAATTCCTAGACTGGAAAGTTAAAAGAATATTATTAACAAATAAATTAATAATTATTGATATATATATATATATATATATATATATATATATATATATATATATATATATATGTGTGTGTGTGGGGGGGGGTTAAGTATGTTTTTAGTCTCTGTACTTTTGTGTGAAATTGGAAATAGTAGTACATTGAAAATAGTTCATCCGTCAAAGTTCATGTAAAAATGATCCATATATTTTTGAAATGATTGGAATAGGTTCCTATTTTAATCAGCGTTAAATATATGATGACCTGTCTAACAGAGATAGTATGACCTATTCATTATTTGACACGTATAATTATTTAAAAAAAAAAAAACTCTTCTTTAAAAAAAATAGAAATTATTCAATAGAGATTATTATTTAAAAAAAAATTAAAAAGTAGAAGGTTTTCTTTTTTCTCACGCAACAAAACTCTTTCGTTCTTGTCACAACCACTTTTCATTCTCTCTTATTTTCTTATCACAACTATTTTTTGTTCTTTTTTGTCACACACCAAAGGTCTTTTCTTCCTTCCCCTTTCTCGGTAAAGATTGTATGAAGTCAAAGTGACTTTGAAGTTCGAGGGTTCCAACGGTTCGTTGTGGTTTGACTGGCAGTGCGACGGTGGTGCACAACGGCAGTGTGTGATGGTGGTATACCATAGCCAGTGTTTTCATTTCCGAAAATTAAGATGAATTGTATTTAAATTCAAAAGGAATAATCTGGATATAGATCCATTCTTAAATGACTTTTAAATGTTTTAAATTTGGATTTAAATGACTTATAAATAACAGAGAAGTTTAAATTTCTTTTTAAATAACTTTTAAATGTTATAAATGACTTTTAAAAACTTGATACCTTTTAATTTTATTTTTTAAAATAATTATACGTGTCAAATAATGAATGAGTTATACCATTTCTGTTAAACAGGTCAGCTTATACTTAATGCCGTTTAAAACAGGGACTTATTTCAATCATTTCAAAAATATAAGGATCATTTTTATGTGAATTATGACAGAGGGACTATTTTTAATTTCACATAAAAATATAGGAACTAAAAATATACTTAACTCATATATATATATATATATATATATATATATATATATATATATATATATATATATATCTTTGAAATTGTACTGAACCAGTCGGTTTAGTGATCTAATCGGGAACCAATTAAAAATTAGTCTATTATTTTTAAATAATTAAATTTTAATTAAAACAGATAAAATCAATAAAATCGATTGAATATTTTAGCCTAACGGGTAAAAAAAATATTATGATAATTTTTTTAATATACTTTTTTTTATAAAAAATATAATAATTTAATTTTTTTAATCTTATATTATTATATTAAATTTAAATAATAATTATTTTATTACATTTTTATTTTATTTTAACAATTATTCTCTAATATATTTTATATTTATAATCTTTTTTATAACTTAAAATCATGATAATAATTTTTATTATTTATTTTTTTATAAAAAATATTATTAATAAATTTATTATATATTTATTATTTTATAAAAATATTATTTTATTAAATCTTGTTAGATTCTTAAAACCCTAAACAATCTTTCCACTGTTTCACCGGCGGAGGATTGTATGTAAGCAAGTCCTCGGTCTCAAAAGCCAAAGTAGCATCTTTGGAGAATGAACTATAGAAGAAGGAGGTAATATATATATATATATATATATATATATATATATATATATATATATATATATATATATATATATATATATATATATATATATATATATATATATATATATATATATATATATATATATATGATGGTTTTATTAATGATATACTATTTGTTATATACAGGTGACACGGAGAAAAAGTAGTGATGAAAATGGAGATAAATGGAATTTTCATTGTATAAGGAAAGTTTTGAAAATGGAGTCTTCCTTGATGTAACAAGGGAAATATGTGAAAACCGAGTTATTGCAAAATATTAAATTTTCAAAGTTATTGGATGAGATATTGTCACATTGATAAGCATACGTATTGCAATAAAAGTTTTACATATTGATTAACTAATAAAAATATAGGAGGGGTCTTGTTCTGAATTATTAACACCAAAATTTTACCTGAATTCTTTTTAATTTTTTTATATATATATTTTACCATTTTATTATAAAAATTGTAACTTTTTTTCTTTATTTTGTTCATTTTAAAAATATTAAAAAAAGCAAAAAACAAGAAATTTTAAAATAAAGAAGATATTCACTATTTTTTTTAAGTGAAGAAAAAAAGAACTTGTTTGTTAATTATTAAAATATATTTGTTATATTAAAATATAAAATATTGATATAAATTATTTATTATCAATTAGATATTTTATATTTAATATTAAAATATACAAAAAAATAAATATTGAATTTTAAAAATGTTTAACAAAAAATTATTTACTTAAATTTTGTAAGAGAAAAAAATAAATGATAAAATAAATTTTAATTTACCAAAATTTAAATTCAATAATTAATAAATAAATGATATTAATGTAATGATAAACTTTTACGTGATAATTGATAATTCATCATCGAGGATAATTTAACCTCGTATAGTTATATGTGTTTACTTTGGTACATGAAAAAATGATAATTTTCATTGATTTTATATAATATATTTATTTTAATATAATAATTAATATTAGTATATATATATATATATATATATATATATATATATATATATATATATATAAACTTTAACGGCAATTGCGTCTAGCAAAAGATGGTTGATGTTGTCCCACCACACTATTAAAGGTGATAATAATATAAAAAAGGGTCACAAAAGTTTCCAAGTAAGAAACACGTGTACACTGTGCAACTAAGTAGTAGTAGCTCTTCTATAAATTGGTCGCTTCACTTGATCTGAAGGTCATAGAGCTAAACCCATAATCAAAACAAAGGAAGCATGAGTATTCCAAAACCATCATCCACTATTTTCCTCCTTCTGGCCCTTGTAACTGCAGCCCTCTCTTTCACAGCCAACGCTTCTGAATGTGTTGGCAATGGAAACCTTTCTGTATACTGGGGTGAGAAATCCCCTGAAGAGGAGTCCACCTTGGACTTTACATGTGGCTCTTCTGGAAGATACACCATTGTAATCCTCCAAAGCCTCATTGTGTACGATAATGGTAAAACCCCAAGGCTCAATTTGGGAAACCATTGTGGGAGCGCTGGATACCCTTGCTACAACCTAGAGTCGCAAATAAAATCCTGCCAACAACGATTCAAGGTCAGAGTGTTCCTTTCCATTGCCATAGACCGTACCCTAAGCACCACAAACTCCAACTTAACTGCGTCACCTGATGCAGCAGAAAACCTTGCGAACTACCTGTTGGAGAATTTCCTCAGTGGAAAACCTGGTCCATTGGGAAACGTCTCCTTGGATGGCATCGACTTTCCTGACGTGTCCGAAGGGGAGAACCTTCACTGGGACGAAGTTGTTAAGGCCATTAACGCATCCACAACCGCCAGAAAAATCTACTTGTCCGCATCTCCACAATGTGTGTACCCTGATCACTACCTCGGCAGTGCAATCAGAACTGGTCTTTTCGATTACATCCGGGTTCAGTTCTTCTACCAGAATCGTTGCATATACACACCCGGAAACCCTTCCAACCTTTTCAGTGAGTGGAACCAATGGACCAAAAATGTTCCCAACAGTTTGATATTCTTGGGGCTCGTGGCCTCGCCGGAGGTAGCGGGATATATAGACTATACTCCGCTTATTAATGATGTTCTACCATTTGTGAGACAGTCTTCAAACTATGGTGGGGTTATGATTTGGAACAGGTATTATGATAAACCCACTTATTACTCTGTTTTGCTTCAAGGCCATGTTCAAAGAAAGTGTAGGTGTGTGTGTGAAGGTGATGATGGCTTTGCACCAAATGGGTTATACGGTCTGCGTTCAGGATCTCAGCCTCTATCAATATGATGCATCCATAAATGTTACCTGTCTGTTGTAGCCTTCCCTAGGCATAGCCATTAGGCACTCTTTGTTCGTATATGTACGGAATAACAAGGTATGGTGTGCGACATATGCATGTGTCTGCATGCATGTACTGGATTTCACTTTAAATAAAAGGTTCTATTTTATAAACACTGCATAATAAGATCATAAGTGTTTGTGTACCACCATTCTCTATACCGATAATTTTATTTGTTTCAAACATAATTTGGGCAGACTAATAAACCAAATTATATCTGTAAGTAGAAGCTATATCCGACTTAAATACAAAAGTAAATCTTCATCCTCCTACCTTACATTACAAATAAATATAAATTAAAAGCCCTAAAATAAGTCATCTGCTTATTTATCATTTGTCATAAGTTTTGGTATAGTTCACTCGTGTAATTTTTATAATTATTATATGATAAATATGGGTACACGATATACCAAAATAGTTCAGATATTCATCTACATAGTTTGTATTATATGTTAATTAGAAGAAGAAAAAAAAAACTAGAAACAATTGTGATTATGATTACACGCACCTACCTAGTATCTTTGCCAAGAACTACTCAGTCAATCCGAACTTATTTCGTGATGTTCAATGTGTACGATGTCTTGAGAAAAGAATTGAACATCAACATTTATAAGTATTCTCGTATATTAAAAAAGTATACGAATTCAATAACATAGTCAATTGAAAAACATTTATACTTAAAAGTTATCAGAAATGCCACTGGATAGGGCATAACATATTTATTCCTTTTGTTGTCCGAAGACATTTTTACTAAAAATGTTATAAAACAATCCCTAAATAGTTGGTCCACTCAATTCAACCTAACTATATTATAATTTAATTTTTTCTATTTAAATTTTTTTTATAATTTATTTTATATAGATGCATTAATAATTTTATTTTTATTTTTAATAAGACTGAAATTAACCTCCTTAATATAGGATTAATTGAGAAAAACTTATTACTCGCTTTAAAATATAAATCAAGCTAAGTCATTAATTTTATTTTACTTTACTTGGTCGGTAAAACCAACCTTCCTTCTCCTATCATTTAGGAATTAGTTGAAAAATAAATATCATTAATAAATAAATTATTTTCAGAAAAAAATGCTTATTAACTTTAATATTTATTTTTTATATGAAAATAATATAAAATTATAAATTATATATATATATATATATATATAAACATTTATGTCATATATTATTTTTTATAAAAGTTAATTAAATAATAATCATCTCTCAAATTCAATTAACAACTAAATTATATATTAAAAAAAACGTCATATATATTGTCCGTATAATCCTTATACTCCTTGTATTATCTTTATACAACCAAATTTAATACTTTTTTCTTAAAAAACAAAAATCCTCCAACAAAATTTTATATTCTTCTACTCTGGTTACATTTGAGTAAGCAAAAGTTTACATTTTATATTCTTAAAAATAGATTTTGTAAATTTGATTAAACTAAAATCACTTTCTAATATTATTTTAATTGAATTAAATACATAATTCATATATATAACATATCCAAGAGCTAAATGATGTTAGCAAATAAATAAGGAATAAAACTAAAATAGTAGGTGACATATTGTATTTTTTTTTTGTTATTTTAAATGTAATGTATAAACTCATAATTATTAATTAATGTTTTGTAAGTTATATAATTTTATGTGATACTTTTTATGTTTATAATAATAAAATAATATTAATTATACTAAAAATTAAAATATTTAATATAATTTTACTCTTCTAAATTTTATGAACAACTTTATCATTTAACACATATTACTAAATTAAAAAATAAAAATTGATATGTTTAATAACTAAAATTTTATAAACATATATAAAGTAACTACACTGTAATTTTTAAAATAATTTTTTACAATTTTAATATTGCTATAAATTATTATAACAAAAAAAAGTTTATAAAATTTCACAATTTTTTTACAATTTATACGTAAATTAATTTTATTTTATATAAAATTTAGTATAATTTTCAAAATAATACTTTACATAAATTGTATCTCAATTTTAATTGATATTTATTTTACTTATAATTTATAATACAGATATTTTATCATTCTCCGTTTCTATTTATTATTATTTTTTTAATTAATCAAAACAATATTTTATTTTTTTTATTTTTTTTTCTCAATTTAAATAATATTATTTTAATTTTTTTATTAAAATGATGTAATTTTATTATATTTTTTAAATTATATTAATATAAATATATTTTAATTTATTTATTTTTAATTCAGAAGAGGTCCGAGGTAATATGACTCATATTATCTAATACGACTTTTATTTATTATATAATAATAATTATCATTATATTATTATAACTAATAATAATTATTATATTATTAATGAAACTAATAATTATTTTATTATTATTATTATTATTACATAATTATATTAATAATATTATTATAATTATTATAATTATTATTTTATTATTATTAAAAGAATAATATTAATAATTTTTATTATTAATTATATCAATAAATATATATTTATTATTATTATTATTATTATTTATAAACAGGTTTGGAAATCTATGACATGGTTTTTTATTTGGTTTTTATATATTTTGTATTTTTTTTACATTGGTATACAGATAAGTATGCCACCTAGGTTCGGATATTATTTATATTATTGTCATATATAATTTTATTAAATATATATATATAATAGATAATAATTAATTATATTAAAATTATTATAAATTATAATAATATTAATATTTTATGATATAATTATAATAGTTATATAAAAAATAAATTAGTATAATTTTTATTATATTATTATTATTATAAATAACAATAATATTTTTTATTATTATAATTAATAATAATAAATAATAAAAATTATTTATATTATAAATATGATCAATAATATAATAATAATTATAATAATATTATTTTTTTATATTAATAATGATAAATTAATATAATAATTATTATTTTTATTAATAATATAAAGTTAGATATTAGTATTTATTTTATTTATAATAATATAAATATTATTAATTATAATAATATAATAATAATTATCTTCTACTAATTTTTCGTAAATGAAAAAGTTAAAATTGTTATAAAATAGATTTTAAAATTAAAAAAATATACTTCATATGTAACTTACTTAAATGTATAATTTTTTTAAAATTACACCGTTTAAATAAAAAAAGCCCATCATTTTTAATTTTTTATTTTCCTTTTTGTCTTCTTGAAATTCACTCTAAATTCAAACACAACTTAAAAATCTCAAGTAGGAAAATATTTCTCTTGACATGGTGAACATCTAAGTAACTTTTTTTTTTTCCCTTCTCATATCTATAAAGAAGGGAACACTTACTTGTCTCCTTTTTATTAGCTATAATCTTTAGGTTTCCATTTTGTCGTTTTGTTTAGAAGGTTGGACATGAGTCTTCATATAACTCCCTTCTTGTTTTGTTTTCATTAATGATTTTACCCACATCAATTATACCAAATTGTAAACATTATAATAAATGCTTACTATATTATATCAAGTAATTAATTTATATAATTTTTATTTCTATTTTAAATTGTCATTGTGTCACAAGTGAATTAAAACCTCCTTAACTGTTTTCCCCCTTTTGTATAAAGTCTATATATGACTGTTTATTATATTTTATCATATAAATATTCTAATTTAGAATATAATTGATAATATCTAGAAATAGAGGTGAGATTTGAATAGTGTGGTTATATCTTATATTTTATGATAAAATAAATGTATTAAAGATCAAAATTTTAATACCAAATAATAGCTAGATTTAAATATTTAATGTAAGAGAAAAAAACATATAAAAGAGAGACTGAAAATTTTAATTTAAAATTATACAAATTTAAGTAATTAATTTTTTTTATTTTTATAATCTCAATTATATATATATATATATATATATATATATATATATATATATATGGTTTTAGGTTGTCATAGTCTTAAATATTTTATTTGTTTATTAAATTTGATTTAATTTTTTGAAAAATATATAAAATTTAGTCTTTTTTAATTTTATTCATTATATTTTTTTATTATTAAATAATAATAATAATAATAACTCTATCTTTCACAAAAATATCTTTATCTTTATTTATTTTTCTCTCTCATCATTTCTCTTCCTCACTTTACCTTTTTCTTTATTATCCTCTCTCACCCTTTTACTTCTTTATATATATATATATATATATATATATATATATATATATATATATATATTAACTTTTCTTTTATTGTATAAAAATTAGAGTGTCAAAATTAGCTTAACAGGTGGATAATCACATAAGGTTCAAGAAATAAGTTAGATTAAACACAAATATTGTAACCTAAATTGAATTAGACTTATTTTATCCTTATTTATTTATATCATGACCTACATAAACTTATACTAGACTAACTCATAAACTTATGATACAACTCATTCTACAGAGTAATAATAATTTTTTAAATAAAAATAAAAGTGATATTATTTTATTAAAATATACATTCTAAATTAATTTAATAAAGAACTTACTTATTTAAGAATAATATTAAAATAAGTATTTAACAATAACTTATTTAAGATCCAATAGTTAAGATTAATTCTTATTTTATATTAATAAATTACTAAAAAAATTAGTCGGATACATTTTTGAGTCGCACATTCATTAGGAGTTAAGATCAAGGATAATTTATATAAACCCTCCTCTCTTAACCTATCAATGTGTCTTTTAAGGACAAAATTGTGATGGACAAGAGCTCCAAAGTGGATCATACCTTGAACATGAGAGTTGATCCTAACATACCTTTGTTCCTAGACGAAATATTGACATTTACCATGAGACCAAGAGAACAATCTCGTTCTACTCGTATGTACCCAACTGAATATTTTTGTTAACAAAAATAAACAATGAAAATGAATAATAAATTTTTAATTCTTATTTTAGGATTAAATAATCCATCTCTTATAATTTATATATTAAATTATTATTTCTTAAATAAAATTCATCAATATAATTTAAATTTTAAAAATTTATTTTTATTTTAATTTAAATAGTTTTAATTAATTATTTTGCTATATATACATTAATAATCTTTTTTAAGTTTTTACTTGAACCAATATAGAACTAAACTGAACTAGCTTCTAAATACTATGGTTAGTATTCATTTTAGTGACATGGAATATTAAAAATCAAAAAGAAAAAAATAAAAATAAAGAAGATAATCACACTATTTTCCTTAAAGTGAAAACATAAAAAAAATTAAGTAAGATTTTTTTAATTATTTTTGTTAACTATTATAGAAATATAAAATGTTGATAATTTATTATTAATTAATTAATTATTTTAATATTTTATGGTCTTATATTTTAATATTAAAATATATAAAAAATTAAATTAAACTTTAATAATATTAAAAAAATGTATAAACTTAAAAAAGAAGATAAATGGTAAAATAATTTTGATTTATTAAATTTAAATTTGACATAATAATATGCAAGGAATATTATTAAAAAGTTTCACGTAAAAATTTGTGATTTTTATAATATAAAATATTATTGAATATAATTAAAAAAATTTAAATATATATTTAATCTCATCTATCTATTTTTGTGTATTTTGGTTGGGTAAAGATCGATAATTTTAAATAATATATTTATTTTAAAAAATTAGTATAGCTTCATCTTTTATATATATATATATATATATATATATATATATATATATATATATATATATATATATATATATATATATATATATATAAGTACTTTAACAACAATCGCGTCTAGCAGAGCCGGCGTCTAGAAAAAATAAAAATAAAATTGTTGATGATGTCGAACCACAACTTTTAAAAAACGGAAAAAGTTTGTTCACAACTCAAATACTGAAATACTCCTATATATCTTATATACAATCATCAAAATAATATAATAATAAATAATAATATTATATAAATGTGGTTGCTAAAATAAAATTTCTTTAACAAATAATAACATAAAAGAGGGTCACAAAACTCAAGAAACAGTATTCAACGAAGTTGTCGTAGGTCCTCTATAAATTGGTCGCTCTCATAGAGCTAAACCAGAAACAACTTCCCGTAATCAAAACAAGAGAATCATGGGTATTCCAAAACCATCCTCCACTGTTTTCCTCCTTCTGGCCCTTGTGTACGATACAGCATCGTAATCCTCCAAAGGCTCATTGTGTACGATAATGGCAAAACCCCAAGGCTCAACTTGGGAAGCCATTGTGGGAGCTGGAAACCTTTGCTCCATCCTAGAGTCAGAAATAACATACTGCCAAACACAAAAGGTCAAAGTGTTCCTTTCCCTTGGCATAGACCGAACCCTAAGCACCACAAACTCCAACTTAACTGCATCACCTGATGCAGCAGAAAACCTTGCGAACTATCTGTTGGAGAATTTCCTCAGTGGCAAATCTGGTCCATTGGGAAACGTCTCCTTGGATGGCATCGACTTTCCTGCCGTGTCGGACGGAGAGAACCTTCACTGGGACGAAGTTGTTACGGCCATTAACGCATCCACAACCGCCAGAAAAATCTACTTGTCCGCAGCACCAATATGTGTACCCTGATTACTACCTCGGCAGCGCAATCAGAACTGGTCTTTTCGATTACATCTGGGTTCAGTTCTTCTACCAGAATCCTTGCATATACACACCCGGAAACCCTTCCAACCTTTTCAATGAGTGGAACATATGGACCAAAAATGTTCCCAACAGTTTGATATTCTTGGGGGTCGTGGCTACGAAGGAGATAGCGGGATATATAGACTATTTTGAGCTTATTGATGATGTTCTACCAATTGTGAGACAGTCTTCAAACTATGGTGGGGTTATGATTTGGGACAGGTACTATGATATATCCAGTTATTGCTTTGCTGTGATTAGATATGATGTTCAAAGACAGTGTAGATGTGTGTGTGAAGGTGATGACGGCTTTGCACCGAATGGGTTATACGGTCTGCGTTCAGGATCTCAGCCTCTATCAATCTGATGCATCCATGAACGACCCTCTGGTACCTGTACGTTGTAGCCTTTCCTAGGCATAGCCATTAGGCACTCTATGTGTTTATGTATGGAATAACAAGCATATATGGTGTGCGACATATGCATGCGTGCCTGCATGCATGTACTCGATTTCGCTTTAAATAAAAGTTCTATTCTATAAACACTGCATAATAAGATCTGCATGAGTCTTTGTGTATCACCATTCCCTATTATTGATAATTTTATTTCTTCCAATCTAAATTTACCATTCTGATAAACCAAATTATTACTGTAAGTAGAAGCTATCCAACCCAAATACAAAAGTAAATCTTCATCCTCTACCTTCCATTACCAATAAATATATAAATTAAAAAAAACCTAAATAAAGTCATCTGTCTCATATCATTTATCATAAGTTTTAGTATGATAAATATGATTGGTACACGATATACCAAAATAGTGCAGATGTTCATCTACATAGTTATGTATTATATGTTAATTAAAAAAAAAAACTAAAAAAATTGTGATTATGGTTACACACACGGGCAATTAGAACTTAGTTCGTGTTGGTACACTCAATTCAACCTAACTATCTTACCAATAAAAGAAAAATTGTCATAAAAAAATATTATCGTCTTTATTCTCAATAATTATCTTACCAATAAAAAAAAACAATCAACACAAAAATATAGTAAAAACTCTATAATAAAAAAAAAATAAGAAAATAAAACTATGTTAAAATTTTATAATACATAGACTATTTTTGCATGCCCTTTAACCTCAAATATATCCAAACTCTTCGTAGCAAAAATTTAAATCAAATCTCACAACACTTTATTAAAAGAGAATAAAAATAAAAAAATTAAATACATGTTTAAAGTATTTTTTATTAAGATATTAGAATATTATGAATTTTGAATCTATTATATAATTATTGTCACTCCTTTGTTTATCTAAAGTGATGCAAGACTTTTTAAGATGTATTATTTTCATCAATTCAATATTTATATGGGTTGAATTAATGTTTTATTAATATTATCTCTGAATTCTCCCTCAAAATATAGTGAACAACACATAGCTGATTAAATATAAAGAGATTGTAGGAGTAATTTATTTCAAGTAATCTATCCCTTAACATGCAAATAGGTAGTGAGTGAAACCTATAAAACTTCAAAAGCAATGTCCACAAAAAGCAAGTAAGTGGAAAGTAAAGAATTGTTAGTTAATATGTAATTGTATGTGAATATTAGTTGTAAGAACCCATCATTAGTAGTTTGTCATCATGTAATTGTATTTAGAAGAACCCATAATTATTTTTGGGACCATTGATGATCAAGGAGTTAACGTCCACGTTGCTAGTAGTGCCTGTTTAATAATATTTAAAGTAATCATCAACTCCTACTAAAAATACAATTAATGAATAAATTAAGAGGCTATAATTCTTGGTGGTGGAGTTAACGTCCACATTGCTACTAGTGCCTGCTTAATAATATTTAAAGTAATCATCAACTCCTACTAAAAATACAATTAACCAATAAATTAACACGCTATAATACATATGTAACTAAATCATATCTACGATTGATGGAAACATGTAACCTAGTCCCTAATCTCAAAGGGCAAACTAGCATCTTGTAGCATCAACAATAGAATAAGGAGGTAATATATTTTACAAATTTTATTTCAACTATTTTATATTCAACCTATAACCAATCATATTATATATATATATATATATATATATATATATATATATATATATATATATATATATATATATATATATATATTACGTGTTTCTCTAGCTATGGCATTATCATTATATCACTTATCATACCTAGTTATGTATTATATGTTTTGTAAGTTTAAAAGAGAAAGAAGAAGAAAGTGATTAGTTTCTGGTCCTAACGAATAATTGCAGGGAAATGAAACTTGACAATGTTTGGTTCACAAATAGACCAGCATTTAACAGTAATGAAAATATTATAATGTCATGTTTCAAACGAGGGGCTTTAAAAAATTTAGAGAAAGTTCAACTTAAATATTTAAAATAAGAGATAATACAAAACTTAGAACATTATAGAAAATGTAGGTAGTTAGGGTTTTGAAACTAATTTACACCTATAAATAGATACCACTTTTCCATAGACACCTCTCTCGATCATCTTCTTTTTTCTATTTTTTTCTCGTTCTATTATTATCCTGGATTTATTTACTATTTTAAGAATTTCTTACTAGTTCATAAGATCCTTAGAAATTTTGAGAAGTTCTTGTTATATCCTAGAGGATTTGTGCAATACACCACGAATAAATCCTTAAGGACAATTGGGTAAAAGTTCAAAAGTGATGAATCTTGTTGAGATTCCAGAATATGTCCATAAGATATGAAAATTTAGTGAAATTGGATAGAGGTTCGAAATATCTATATAGATAGTATGACCTTGCTGTAATTCTTTTTAATGTATAAAAAATTAGGAATGCCAAAGTTGGCTTAACACGATAGATAATTATGAAAAGTTCAAAAATAAGTTATACTAGACAAAATAATTATGATTTAAATTAAATTAAACTTATTTTATTTTCACTTATTTATATCATGATCTACGTGAATTTTGATTAGACTAATCATAAACTTATGATGCGCTCCAATGTGTAGAGTAATAATAATTTTTAAATAAAAATAAAGTGATATATTATTTTATTAAAAAATATATTCTAAATTAATTTAATAAAGAATTTACTTATTTTAAAAATAAGTATTTAATAATCACTTATTTAAGTTCCAATGGTTAAGATTAATTCTTATTTTATATTAATAAATTACTAAAAAAAGTTATTCAAATACGCTCTTGAGTCACACATACATCGATCAATGATAATTTACATATACCCTTCTCTCTTAACTTACTAATGCGTTTTTTAAGGACAAAATCATGACGGATAAGAACTCCAAAGTGCATCATACCTCGGACATGAGAGTTTATCTTAACATACTCTCGTTCCTAGACGAAACATTGACACACACCATAAAATCGAGATAATAATCTCGTTTCACTCGTACATACCCAATTGAATATTTTTATTAACAAAAAATAAACGATGAAAATGAATAATAAATTTTTAATTCTTATTTTGGGATTGAATGATCAATCTCTTATAATTTATATATTAAATTATATTTTTTAAATAAAATTCATTAAAATAATATAAATTTTAATAATTTATTTTTTATTTTAATTTAAATATTTTCAATTAATTATTTTGCTATATATACATTAATAATTTTTTTAAGTTTCTTGACAAAATTTCACCTATTACCATGTTGTTCTAATATAGAACTAAACTATCCATTAAAAACTATGGTTAGTATTCATTTTAGTGATATGGAATATTAAAAATAAAAAAAATAAAAAATAAAGAAGATAATCACACTATTATCCTTAAAGTGAACAAATAAAGTAAGATTTTTTTAATATATTTGCTGACTATTATAGAAATATTAAATGTTGATAATTTATTATTATTAATTATTAATTTATTTTAATATTTTATGGTCTTCTATTTTAATATTAAAATATATAAAAAATTAAATTAAAATTTAATAATATTTTAAAAAATTATAAACTTAAAAAAGAAGATAAATGATAAAATAATTTTAATTTTTAAATTTAAATTTGACATAATAATATGCAAGGAATATTATTAAAAAGTTTCACGTAATAATTTGTGTTTTTTATCATATAAATATTATTGAATATAATTAAAAATTTTAAATATATTAAATATATATATATATATATATATATATATATTTAATCTTATCTATCTATATTTTTGTATTTTGATTGGGTAAAGATTGATAATTTTATATAATATATTTATTTTTAAAAATTAGTATAGCTTCATTTTTTTAATATATATAGAATTACTTTAACAACAATTGCGTCTAGCAGAGCGGGCGTCTAGAGAAAAAAAAATTGTTTTTTTTTTTTATCGGCAACAAAGAATAAAATTAATAGAAGTACAAAGGGGTACTTCAATCCAAATACAACTAAAAGAAGCTAGATGAACGAAATAAAACAAACCCTGCTGGGTCACAAGAACGAAAGCTCAAAGATACAGGTTCAGTTACCCTAGCGGTGCCTAAAAGAACTAGCTTCGGGTAAAATGATGACACTAAGAAAGTTTACAACAAGAGAAAAAAACTTTGTAGCACTCGGATACTCCCTCTCACCATCTTCTTATATGAGTCATCATCATTGTGGCATGATTACACACTTTAGCCTGAAAAGACATATACCAGCCAGCACAGAAAAAAGAGAAACTAAATGGCAATTAGTCTCATACATCTTACCGGTTCATAAAACCAATCGGAACTTACTAGGCTCGCTCCATCCCAGTCTCTAGCGCACCAAGCAGTGAAGTTTGCACTCGCTTTACTAAATCCTACTTCCGCATCAAATTTACCATTTTTAAAAATACATTTATTCCTTTGAGACCAAATTTCATATACCACTGCTACCCATAGTCTTTTCCATAACATGTTTCCCTTCGCTCCCAATCCACCTAATGCAAAGTTTTCCAGGCTTGCTTTCGCCTCACAATGGCTAACAAAGCTTATACCCACCCATCTAAAGCACTTTTCCCATATCTCCCTGGTAATCTTGCACGTGAAAAAGAGATGATTGGATGTTTCGTCCTCACTCCCACACAATGCGCATTTTGGGTTACCTATATCAACCCTTCTCCTAGCTAAATTTACCTTAGTAGGTATCCTATCTTGAAGAATTCTCCACCCTAAAACCATGGCCTTTGGTATCGCTTTAATTTTCCAGTACCATTTGAAAATCAATTCTTTCTCGTTGCAATTTTCTTCGTTTAGAATCTCAAAAATTGTTGATGACGTCGAACCACAACTTTTAAAAAACGGAAAAAAGTCTGTTCCCAATTCAAATACTGAAATGAGTGGTGATATTTTGACAACCAAAAACCATACGACCCTTATAAACAACTCACTTTTATTAATATAATAATCTATAGATCGATTTAATAAAAA